GTTTTCTTTTCTCTATCTTATGTGAGTGCATAATTTATTGGAGAAATCTGATTATCCAGTAGTTTCCTGTAGTCTGGATTTTGCTGACTTGCAGGTTGATGGTTAGTAATGTTTGTATGTATAATAGTATCACACAAGAGGATTTCAGAAGGTATTTAATGAACAGTAAGGATAATGATAAATTGTAATTTTCTTATTAACAAGTATTTGTAGCAATTGTAACTTGTGTTAACAGTATCTTTAGAAGAAAACTTTGTTGCTGTCAATGTGAAAATAACTTACTAATCCATTTAAAAAACTATTTTAACTCAAAAATACTGATATTAAACTAGGTACTTTAATTTTGGAGGACTCATCACATATCATATCAAACATAATAGAATGAATCCAAGTACAGCCAAGCAGTGAAATGCTATTTGCCTAGTCACTCGGTCGTGTCCAACTCTTTGCAACCCCATGGACTGTAGCCGTGTCATAGACTGTAGCTCAGTCCATGGGATTCTCCAGGCAAGAATGCTGGAGTGGGTTGCCATTTCCTTCTCCAAGAAATGCTATTAGGATTAAAGAAATCCTTAAGTATTAATATAGAATGCTTTTCCAAATGTACTGTTAAGTGAATATATTGTTAAGTAAGTGGTGTGATGCCATTTATATAAAACAGATGAAGAAAAACCATCTCTATATTCAATTATGTTAAAAGGGAGAATAATGACATTTATGCATAAAATACTCCCAGACACATATAATAGATTTCTCTAGTGATGGGGCCTGGTGACTCTAGCATGGGAGTGAGAGGGAGACTGAGATTTCAGAATTTGCAATCATATAAATGTACCTGTTCTCCCCTATATTCCCCTCCACATTAAATTGCTCCAAAATTTTTGGTGCAGTTATTTCACCTTAAGTGTCTTAACAGCTTTATTGAGTTATCCTTCACATACCATTCAGTGTATTCATTTGAATTGTACAGTTCAGTGGTTTTTAGCACATTTGAGGGTTGTGCAAACATGATGACAATCAGTTTTAAAACATTTTCATCACCTAATTAGCAGTCACTTTCCATTTTTCTCCAGGTCCTCTAACCCTGTGCAAACACTGAAATACTTCCTGTGTCTACTGATCTGTCTTTTCTGGATATTTCATGTAAACGTAACCCTGTAATAGGCGGTCTTTTGTGACCAACTTTATTCACAGAGTATGTTTTTGAGGTTTATCCATATTGTAGCATCTGTCAGTACTCCATTCGTTTGTGTTACAGAATAATCATTGTATGGATGTACTACATTTTATTTATCCATTTTTTCCTTGATAGACATTTGAATGATTGCCTCTTTTTTGGCCTTTATGAATAAATGCTGCTATGAACATTTGTGTCCAAGTTTTTCCGTTTTTTATTTTATTTTATTTATTTTTGGCTGGGCCAGGTCTTTGTTGCCGTGTGGGCTTTTCTCTATTGTGCTTGGGCTTCTCACTGCAGGGCTTCTTTGTGTTGCAGACCAAGGCTCTCGGGCACTTGAGCTTCAGGAGTTGTGGCAAGTGGGGTCAGTAGTTGTGGCTTCTGGGCTTTAGTTGCTCCGTGGCATGTGGGGTCTTCCTGGATCAGGGATGGAACCAGAGTCTCTTGCATTGCCAGGTGGGTTCTTTACCCCTGAACCACCAGGAAAGCCCCATATCCAAGTTTTTGTGTGGACATGTTTTCTCTTGCATAGGAGTGAATCACTGAGTCATGTGGTAGGTCTGTCTGTGTTTATATAAATCACTTTTATAATTATTATTAACAGCCATACGATACTTAGAAATGGTGCTCTCAGAAAATCTAATCTATGAATCATTTTCAAATGTAATGGAAATTTCATAAATGTTATTGTCATAACATTTCTTTCTTTGCCCTCTCTCTTTTACGTCCTTATATAAATTCTCCATGAGTAAATGATCGTTTAAACAATTTAAATAAGATGAAGGAGCATACATTTTATTTAAGGAGCTTAAATAAAGGAACTTTCTACTGGGCAGGCATAGAAGCCAACCAACTGTTTTAGCATACTTCCTGTTACTGGTTTGTTAGTTTTTAATGTATTTCCCTGGGCTGATGCTTCTCTCACCGTGGTGTTCACATTTTCCATCCAAGAGTGGATTATCACTGTATATAAACCCATTCTCTCTGTTGATCTCAACAGAGAAATCAATGCCAGTCTGATTCTGCTGAAACTTGAATAAAGCTAAAAGGTAATGCAACCATTAAAATAATGTATGAGCAGGGTGTGTGGTATAATCCCATTCTTACAGGGGGAGGAATGGAATGTGAAGCAAACAGTGATAGCTTTTTGGTACACAGTTACACAGTAGTCTCCCTACCCTGAGGAAACACTCAGATAATCATGGCTCAGTTCAGTTCAGTTGCTCATGTCTGACTCTTTGTGACTCCGTGGACTGCAATATGCCAGGCTTCCCTGTCTATCACCAACTCCTGGAACTTGCTCAAATTCATGTCCATCGAATTGGCTGAGGATAGTTTAATCCTCTAATAGTGGTTAAAGAGAGTTCTGAAGTCATACAGAAGAAGACACCTTACCTAGCTTAAATGGGCCCAGAACATTTCTTAAAAGCTAATATTCTGGGCCAAGGCTAAAATATCAGTAGGAGTTAGGTGAATGGATTGAAAGGAGGAGGCATGGAGAAGAGAAGAATTTTAGGTACAGAAAGCAATCAGGATAACACTCAGTGTTTGTGAATCAGCCTGTTGTGTTCAGTGACCTCTAAGCAAAGAAGTTTTCAGATTGTGATGCCAAGGAAGGGAGTTCCATGAGAAGAGCAAGGTGAGGAGGGGCTTCAGTCCAAGGTCACATCATGGAAGCTTGATGAGCCATGTTGCCAATGAGCTTAAACCAGATGCTATCCATAGTGGAAAATCTCAAGCTGCTTTAAGTACCAGAGTGACACGGTCAGCTCTGTGGCTTAGGTATGTTATTTTTGTTGCTGAATGCCAGATCCAAGAGTCTAATTTTCTTACAAGTCAAGAGCTATGTTTGCTGATCACTGTTACCCTCACCAATACCATGTCTGGCATGTATCTAAGTACTCACTAAGGATGTTACTAAGTCTGCTGGAGTAGGACATGGTGACCCACTCCCACTATTCTTGCCTGGGCAATCCCATGGACAGAGAAACCTGGTGGGCTACAGTTCATGGGGTCGCAAGGAGTCGGCCATCACTGAGCACACAGCATATAGTTGTATATGGCAATTGAGGGCAGGGGTTCCAACGCAGGTCTGAATCCTCCTGATGCCATCAATAAATAGCTCTGTGACCTTAAGCAAGTTTGTTAATCACCATGTAATTAGTTTTTTTATCCAGAAAATGGAGGGAACAGTGGGCCCTACTTCATCAGATTGTTGGGAGTATTAAGTGACTTTATATAAAGCACTTAGATTTGTGTTTGGCTCATAGTAAGTATGGGCTTCCCCGATAGCTCAGTTGGTAAAGGATCTGCCTGCAACGCAGGAGACTCTGGTTCAATCCCTGGGTCAGGAAGATCCGCTGGAAAAGGGATAGGCTACCTGCTCCAGTATTCTTGGGGTTCCCTTGTGGCTCAGCTGGTAAAGAATCCATATGCAATGTGGGATACCTGGGTTTGATCCCTGGGTTGGGAAGATCCCCTGGAGAAGGGAAAGGCTACCCACTCCAGTATGCTGGCCTGGAGAATAAATTCCATGGACTGTATAGTCCATGGGGTCGCAAAGAGCCAGACATGACTGAGCGACTTTCACTTTCATAGTAAGTACTGTATAAATATTAATAGTTATTAGTACTTCTTTGATAAAAGATTAATGCAAACTGGAACTGTTGAGGGCCTGACCCGAGAGCTTTCATGGGGTTGCACGAGAATGGAAGGATTTAAGAAAATCCTACACAGATAGGATGTGTGAAAAGCGTGAGGAGTTAAGGTTAATTTTCTGATTTAAAACTGGAGCTTTAGGTTCCCCTCTTCCCCTAATACACACATAAACACACAGGGATTACTGCTAGTTAGAGGAAGTTTAAGGCCTGGAGGTAGTCTCTGGTCTGTTGATCAGAGAGAGAGTTGATTTGGTGTGGCACAGCCTCTTTGGGCTTTTGTCTGACCTCTCTGATTCCTTTTCTTCTCTTCCTTGAAGTCTGTTCCCTGGACTCCTGTGGAATTCTTTTCTTCACCACGTAAGAAGGGCCCAGGGCCGCCTCCAGTTGGTGGACCATGCAGCTGCTCTCTTGTCTCGCTGCCTTTCTCTCTGTGCATCCTGCCTTCCCCCTGCTGTCTCTTTTCCCCCTTTTCCCCACAGTGGGACACAAAGAGGAAGAGCGTTTCCTCCTTGTTTGGCCCTGGCTGCTGACTGACTTGGGGCTTCACAGTCCCGGTAATGAGGGAAAACTTCGCGGAGGATGTGAAGGCTTGTGCTGGAAAAATGCTCCCTTGTGCAATTAAATGTGGCTTTAAGAGGTTTTTCTTTTGATTCTGTTCTTCTGGTGTGTCATGGAGAAGGATTTGGAATCCAGCTAAACTGATGCTTTAAGAAAAGAAACCCTTTAATGGATTTGTGTTTCCTTATATATGGGCTTGGTCTCCAGTTTAAGGAGTGCAAACCACGAGGATTTGGGGTGAAGCCTTTTTGTCTTGACCGAGTATCTGCTATGCATTTCTCTTTGGCTCATTGAGCCCCAGCTTCTTTCTCTCAGCACGTGAAGCTTCTCATTCTTTGGACCACCCTGAATTATAAATAATCTGTGTTAAAAGCTCGAGTTTGTGCTGAATACAAACATTCTGGGGCATTCCTTGTTGGGACACTCATGAAAAGATGGCAGCCAGTGTTGATTGTCTCACCAAGTGCCAGGCTCTATTCTCACCCCTTCCTGCGTCCTGCTGTCTGATGATGCGATTGTTACAGAGACAAGTGACTGGCCCCGTGGAATTCATGCTAATGTTAGCACTGTCTTTAATTAACAGATTTCAACACTAAACTTGCACAATGTCTTTGAAACCAAGAGTAGTGGATTTTGATGAAACCTGGAACAAACTCCTCACGACAATCAAAGCTGTGGTGATGTTGGAGTACGTGGAGAGAGCAACGTGGAACGACCGCTTCTCGTATCCTTTGGTGGCACCTACGCCTGCGCCTGTCAGTGCTGGGTTCATAAGCTTGTTGAAAACAGGTTTAAGCTTTCCTAAGTGGAAGAAGTTTCCAGTATGACTGTTTTCAAATGTATTATTGTTCACAGTTCCAAGTTTATTGCCCGTATGTGGCAGTCAACAATCTTCCATAACCTTTTGTTCAACAAATACTTTACTGAGATTTAGTGTATGTCAGACACCGCTTCAGGCTTTGGGAGTACAGCTGTGAACAAAACAAGCCACTTTCCCTTCATTCTACTGAAGGGATAGGCATTAAGTAGATGTAAAGCAAGCCTAATGCCAGTGCTTCTATTAATCATAACAGGTTAAATATCGGGGCGGTGGGCTGGGGAGGACTGAAGCAGGTCAAGGGTCTGAGTGTGGCCGGAGTGTGTGTGCAACTCTGCAGACAGTGGTCAGGGAAGGTCTCTCTGCAGATGGTGATAAAACTTGAGCAAAGACTAGGACAAAGGGAGGGAGCAGGTCACACACAGACCTAGGGGCAGCGTGCCAGGCAGAGGGCACATAGCACATTCAGCGGCTGTGAGGCAGAAACAGTTCTTAACTGGGTTGTCTACATTTGTGAGTTAGGGCTTGTATATGAAAACAGATTGGTGGTTTCCCTATGGTCTAAAACCTGCTGTTCTGCATTCCTACATGACAGCAATCTTATTTTAAAAAATTTATATAACATACATAATATATACTATACCTAATATGGAGAAGCTCTATACAGTCAGCAAAAACAAGACCAGGAACTGACTGGCTCAGATCATGAACTTATTGCCAAATTCAGACTTAAATTGAAGAAGGTAGAGAAAACAACTAGACCATTCATGTATGACCTAAATCATATCCCTTGTGATTATACAGTGGGAATGACAAATAGATTCAGGGGATTGGGTTCAAGGGATTAGATCTGATAAAGTACCTGATGAACTATGGACGGAGGTTCGTGACATTGTACAGGAGGCAGTGATCAAGACCATCCCCAAGAGAAAAATGCAAAAAGGTAAAATGGTTGTCTGAGGAGGCCTTGCAAATAGCTGCGAAAAGAAGAGACTCGAAAGGCAAAGGAGAAAAGAAAAGATATACCCATTTGAATGCAGAGTTCCAAAGAATAGCAAAATAGCAAGGAGAGATAAAAAAAGCATTCCTCAGTGATCAATGCAGCGAAATAGAGGAAAACAATAGAAGGCGAAAGACTAGAGATCTCTTCAAGAAATTTAGAGATACCAAGGGAACATTTCATGCAAAGATGGGCTCAATAAAGGACAGAAATGGTATGGACCTCACAGAAGCAGAAGATATTAAGAAGAGTTGGCAAGAATGCACAGAAGAACTATACAAAAAAGATCTTCACAACCCAGATAACCATGATGGTGTGATCACTCACCTAGAACCAGACATCCTGGAATGCAAAGTCAAGTGGGCCTTAGGAAGCATCACTACAAGCAAAGTAGTGGAGGTGATGGAATTCCAGTTGAGCTATTTCAAATCCTAAAGGATGATGCTGTGAAAGTGCTGCACTCAATATGCCAGCAAATTTGGAAAACTCAGCAGTGGCCACAGGACTGGAAAAGGTCAATTTTCATTCCAATCGCAAAGAAAGGCAATGCCAAAGAATGCTCAAACTACCACACAAATGCACTCTTCTCACACGCTAGCAAAGTAATGCTCAAAATTCTCCAAGCCAGGCTTCAACAGTACGTGAACTGTGACCTTCCAGATGGTCAAGCTGGATTTAGAAAAGGCAGAGGAACCAGAGATCAAATTGCCAACATCCACTGGATCATTGAAAGAGCAAGAGAGTTCCAGAAAAACATCTATTTCTGCTTTATTGACCACGCCAAAACCTTCGACTGTGTGGATCACAATAAACTGTGGAAAATTCTGAAAGAGATGGGAATACCAGACCACCTGATCTGCCTCCTGAGAAACCTGTATGCAGGTCAGGAAGCAACAGTTAGAACTGGACATGGAACAACAGACTGGTTCCACATTGGGAAAGGAGTACGTCAAGGCTGTATATTATCACAGTGCGTATTTAGCTTATATGCAGAGTACATCATGAGAAACCCTGGGCTGGATGAAGCACAAGTTGGAATCAAGACTGCTGGGAGAAATATCAATAACCTCAGATATGCAGATGTCACCACGCTTAAAGAGCCTCTTGACGAAAGTGAAAGAACAGAGTGAAAAAGTTGGCTTAAAACTCAACATTCAGAAAACTAAGGTCATGGCATCTGATCCCGTCACTTCATGGTGAATAGATGGGGAAACAATGGGAACAGTGACAGACTTTATTTTTTGGGGCTCCAAAATAACTGCAGATGGTGACTGCAGCCATGAAGTTAAACTATGCTTGCTCCTTGGAGGAAAAGCTATGACCAACCTAGATAGCATATTAAAAAGCAGAGACATTACTTTGCCAACAAAGGCCCATCTAGTCAAAGCTATGGTTTTTCCAGTGGTCATGTATGATGTGAGAGTTGGACTATAAAGAATGCTGGGAGCTGAAGGATTGATGCTTTTGAACTGTGGCGTTGGAGAAGACTCTTGAGAGTCCCTTGGACTGCAAGGAGATCCAACCAGTCCATCCTAAAGGAGATCAGTCCTGGGTGTTCATTGGAAGGAATGATGCTGAAGCTTGAAACTCCAACACTTTGGCCATCTGATGTGAAGAAGTGACTCATTGGAAAAGACCCTGATGCTGGGAAAGATTGAAGGCGGGAGGAGAAGGGGACGACAGAGGATGAGACGGTTGGATGGCATCACCAACGTGATGGACACAAGTTTAAGTAAGCTCTGGGAGTTGGTGATGGATGTGGAGGCCTGGCGTGCTGCAGTCCATGGAGTTGCAAAGAGTCGGACACAACTGAGCGACTGAACTGAACTGAATATAATGTGTGTATATGAAAGTGAAAGTCGCTCAGTCATGTCCGACTCTCTGCGACCCCTTGGCCTGTACCGTCCATTGAATTCTCCAGGCCAGAATACTGGAGTGGGTAGCCTTTCTCTTCTCCAGGGGATCTTCCCATCCCAGGGATTGAACCCAGGTCTCTCACATTGCAGATGGAGTCTACCCACTGAGTCACAAGGGAAGCCCAGGAATACTGGAGTGGGTAGCCTATCCCTTCTCCAGCAGATCTTTCCAACCCAGGAATCGAGCTGGGGTCTCCTGCATTGCAGGTGGATTCTTTACCAACTGAGCTATCAGGGAAGCCCTAAAAGAGTGATCTGCCTTTTCTGAGGTTTGAACTCCGGACCTTCAGATTATGAGACTGACATGCTGCCTCCCTCCTAAGAGGGCAGACATGTATATTATATGTATATATACATTACATGTATATTATTACATATATATTACAATATATTACATGTATATTGTATGTATATTACAGCACTAATAATATCATTGTATAGGTAAAAACACAGCACCCAGGATATATACTCTGGGAAAAACCCACAGCATTCCAGTGCTTTAGGAGGTTAAAGCAGTCTCTAGGAACCCTCAGCCGCAGGTAGCTGGGGAGAGGGGTGGGTGGTTGTCTCACCAGCTCTGCCCAGTGTCTGCCAGGCGCCGTGGCTGGTAGGGCCTGGGGTAGCCCTGGCAGACTGCTGACCTGCCTTCACCTTCTACCACAGGACATTCCACATGAAGGAAGGGAGTAGGGTTGAGGCCTGGTCTCTGGTTTGAAGGGCCCTGTAGGAGGCTTTACGGATTCAGTAGTCCCTGCAGGAACCAGAGACTCTTTCCATCTAAAGGGAAGATGAGACGTGAAGGTATTATTACCAGAGTGTGGGTGTAGGTTCCTGTCGTCTCCTGCTCGCTGCCCTCTCCAGCAGTGCCCTGGTGCTGAAGGATGGCTGCCTCACTGAACAAGGTGTGTGTTCTCTAGAAAGGCTGGAATTTTATAAGAGTGATTCACCTTGTCAGTGCCTAACCCAGTTGTTGATATTAAACTGAATGTTGGTGCAGGAACAGTGAAGTTCTTTGAATTGTGTTGCAGTTGTCAGTAAGAAACATTTGATAGGCTGTCTGTGTTCTAGTCACTGCAGATACAGAATAAGATGGTAACTTTTCTAGAAGGCTTCGTGGTTTGCCGAGATCGTTTACATTTCTGTGTTATTCGGCGTCCCAAGCACGCCTGTTGGATCAGCGGGGCAGATGTAATAGATGCGGAAGGCGCTCGGGGGGAAGGGGCCCACCCGCACTCTGCTGGCAGTCGCTGCGGAGCACGGACTTTGCGAGGTTTCTGACACCTGACTTCTTGTACTTTCCATTGTATTTAGATGATAATTGGTCATGGGTTTTGCCTTTGAAGAGCTTATTATTGAACTAGTCTCTTTTAAGTTTTTTTGGTGTGTGTGTGTGTGGAACATCATGAACTGTTTCTGATCAGAATCTTAGTAAAAACTTTAAAAAGTGTTAAAAGTTACTTGTGCATGAATGAGGTTGGGCTAGGCAAGTACTTAGGTACTCTTAAGGCTATTTTAACTAAAATAATGAGTAAAAAGAGAAGAGAAGGAGTTGGTCATAGAAGATGACAAAAAAATGAGCAGAAGTTAAAGAAAATGGAGTAATTAAATGTGTTCTTATTCTGCAGAATATATAGTTATTGTTGGTTTGTAAATGGCTTTGAGATAGCTTGCTTCCTTGAGAAGTGCCTTCAGTTACTGATATTTCTACGATGTTTATTGTCTGATCTATCTAAGATGGTCCAATTACTATTCACCTGATCGCGAGTTTTCTGCTCCTCCCCTGAAATAAAAAAATGTCTGCACAAACAGCAAACTTGGAATCTCAGTTTTAAAATTTTATTTTGAAAAATAAAGTACTATGTTCCTAATTGTTCTCCAGCCAGTTTCTCTCCTTTTCCTGTTATTTTGCCCAAGAATATAAGGTTGACTTCTGATACTCAGATATTTTAGGTAGAAATTTTAGCGGTCGTAAATCTTGCATATTTTGAAACTGAAAAAAAAAAAAAACCAGCCCCCCACCCTCCTCTGAAAATTGTGCACCATCATATGTTATAACTTATTTTTACAAAACATTTTTTGGGGTGTGTGACTTACCTTATGTGATCCTGTCCTCTCACGTGTTGGGTCGGTGTCTTCATTCTGTATGTATCTATATAATCCTAAACTATAAGAGTGAAATAAAGGTTTTTCATGTTTTAACCTGAGTTCAAACTTCAGTTAAATCTCATTTGTTTTAAAGTAATGTCTCCAGTGAATATGAAAACCTTAACAATTTAACTAGAGATATCTATGCTTTATGTGTGGCCTATCCTGAACCCCTTGGAGAAAGACTTTATACAGAAACTAAGATTTTTTTGGAAAATCATGTTCGGCATTTGCACAAGGTAAGGTCTGCTGTATGCATGATGTAAGTGTGTTTATGGCTACATAGTTATTTGACTAGTTCACTGTTTTCCAGTGCAGAACTTGTATCAAGTTAAGGTTATTTGTTTCCTAAATAGCATTTTTCTAAAATGTATTTAAGAGCTATGAGTCAAGCACTGTGTGGTTAGGTTCTCCAAGGGAAATCAGTTTAGTTGCTCAAGGTTATGCTACTAGTAAGTGAGGAGAGTTTCAAATCAAGATTTGTTCAACTTGAAATCAAGTCCTCACATGTTCTTCAGATGGTGTTTGTAGAACCAAGTTTTTTTGTTTTTACTGTCCCTTCCCTACCTCTTGGTGAATCTCTGTCTTTGTAATCAACCTTTTAGCTGCCTCTTAATATCCTATCTTGAAAATCCTAGGATTAAAAAGGAGAATGGTAAATGAAGAAGTACGACAGGAACTCCCCGTGACCAGTTATTTCGGTCAGGGTGCCATGCACATGAGGGAAACATCACAGACTTGATGATCTGCGTATACACAGTGAACGAATTTGCAGTATTTGGCTAACGGCAGCATTTCTAACTTATTTCGGATTAGTGATCTTATCAGGAACTAGATGAGATCATTTATTGTTTGAGCTAAAAACTTGACCACTTTTTATTAGCCCTGTGACCCTGGGCAACTCACTTAACCTACCTCGTGGATTGAACTTTAAGTTCTTTTATCTATAAAATAGAGATAAAGTAACATAAACTGTGTAGTGTGTCTAACCCTGCACACGACTAGGATGAGGCCTTTTTCAAAGGGTAATAACCTGTAAGAGCACAATTGATGCTGTGATATTTCCCTTATAACCTTTGAAGAAAAGCTCATTTTCCAAAGCATGTTTTATCTATTTGTTTATTATTATTTCTAAATAGGGTAAGTCCCTAGACTTAGAATTACTAGGTCTTAGGTCATGAACACTTTTTATTTTTTTAACTTATCGCAGTTGCCTTCCATGTCTATGTCTTCCATATTGGTGGATGTGGAGGCCTGACTCTAGGGGAGTTGAGCCTCTGTGGGATTTGGTGTCCATGGGGCATCCTACAAACAGTCCCTGCTGATACTCAGGAATGACTGCAGTTAAGAAATTGTTTCTGGATTTATATTTTATCCCACCAGCCGCAGAAGTTCCTAAGGGGGCCCTGTTCCCTAGCATTGTTAATGCTGTGCCATGTCAGTCTCTCAGTCGTGTCTGTCTCTGCGATGCCATGGACCATAGCCTGTCAGGCTCCTCTGTCCGTGGAATTTCCCAGACAAGAATCCTGGAGTTGGGTTGCCCTTTCCTCCTCTAGGGGGTCTTCCCGACCCAGAGAGTGAACCTGTGTCTCCTGCATTGGCAGTGGGTTCTGTACCACGCTATGCCACCTGGGAAGTGTTGCATTATTAATAGTGGTTGGTGTTTTTATTTACCACATGGTAGGCAAAAAAAGTACTATTTGTCAGCTCTTCCTATCATTGTGAGCTTTAATTGTTAAAATCCCAAGTTTAAAAGCATAGCATTTCATCAGAGTTATTAGATGAGCATTGAGCTCAGGACTTGCCCAAGGTCACATGGACAGTTGATGGAAGGACAGTTGAAGTACAAGAAGCAGTGACTTTGGGAATGTCCGTCCTAGCCAGTGAATTTTTATTGTTATACTGAATTTCCATTAAAATTAACTTTTTAAATACCAGGCCTCAGATTTCAGCTTGATTTTCATTTTTCAAAAGATAGTAGGCTTTTATTTTTATTTTATTAAGTAAATATACAATAACTTATTTGGAGAATGTGGAAAAATTGTCAATTTTCATAGTCTTATTCACAGAAGTGAATAATGTGAGGTGATGATGTACAACTAGCAGTCTGATCAAAATTGATGGACATGAGGAAAAAGAGATACATGGCAATAGAATTACATTCTGTTTTAATCTGACAAGGAACAGCATCAAACCATTACATTTTATTTTTTTATCTTAGGAAATGAAGCATTTACTCTGTAATGTGGATGTTTCATTTTCATCTCTAAGATTCACATTTTTTTTCCCCTAACTCTTTCATTGTTACTGAAGGTAGTTAAATTAGAATGTAATCTGTAAATATATAATTCTCAAATTACGTCACTTATGTAAGAACATTAATTTTTGATAAATTTCATTGCTTACAAATGAAAATGATCATTGCTTTGTGAGTAAAGTGTTTTTCTTCTTTATCTAGAGAGTTCTGGAGTCTGAAGAGCAAGTGCTTGTTATGTATCATAGGTATTGGGAGGAGTATAGCAAGGGTGCAGACTACATGGACTGCTTGTACAGGTAAGTGCACTTTCAGTCCCCTGACAGACGCTATTCGGTAGTTGAAGGAGGTTTTGCTTTTATGACCTATTAAAATGCACAGAACTGAAGCGTTTCATGATGTATGGACTTTTCTCTGCTAAGGGGAAAGTTCTGTAGTGCGGGTCATGTGGATACTTGGGAGCCAGGCCATGTGTGGAAACAGTCTGTGAAAACTGCAGCTGTATTTGATGGCATAGCCCTGTTTCTTCAGTTGTCTGGGGCTGGGTAGCACGCATTAAATCTTGACAGCTCTAAAGTGAAACTTCGGCTTGGATGAAACTTCTGGTGGCTCTAAGCCAGCACCCTCCTCCAGCATGTTCCTGTTTGACTCCAGGATTCAGTATGTTATGTCTCATGGAGGTGCCCAGCCTCAGCTCATCCTGCCTTTCCTCATGCCGTTCTGTCCGTCTGTCTGGATTGCTTTTCTTCCTTTCCCTGAGTGACTAATCCCCATTCCCTGCCCTGAACCTCTTGCCTCGGTCTCCTGCTTAGATCTCCTGTCTTAACTGCCCTCTCCTACGTGTTTCCGCGGCACTGTGGCCTGGTCCTCTCTGACTCATTCACGCCAACGCTGGAAATAGGTACTGGGGTGCACAGGCAGAATCCCGTTGATTGAAGGGTCGTGGATAAATAAAGGAATGATGCTGGCCCCAGTGGCCTGTGATGGCTGCAGTGAGAACTGTGCCCTCTCTGCATTAACTTGCACATTTACACAGTGCTTTGCAGGAAGCCACAGCGGGGCCAAGGTATGGTCACCTCCTTGTGTTGTCCTTCTTTGCTTTATGGGTTTTTTGTTTGCTTTTATATCAACGCTGGACTTTACTAGATGTAGGTTGCTTATGTTAGAAACTGGAGCTTAATTCTAAGTGGCAAGTAGCTCTGTTTCTTCTTAGAAGAGCAAAATGTAATAAAACCAAACCAGAAACCAGCAATGGCTAACAAAGGCATGGCTTGCTGTGGCTTTGCCTTTTATAAAATGGTGTCTGCCATCCATTAAACGTCCTCACCGTTTGATTTTTTTCCCTACCTCATCCGCCAAAGTGACCCAGTCATAAATAAAACTGTGAGAATTCCTTAGCTAAACTATGAGGGAGAGCAGAGGGAGGTTTAAGGATCAGAGTGAGGGCACCTGTGTGCCTTTGCACCTGCTGAGAAGCTGGGTACAGATTTGTCATCTTTTGTACAGATGACAAAAGAAAGCGCTTCACCTGTGTGTGGGCAGTGGGACCCCTCATTAGCTGAGATGCTTCAGCAAAGATCCAAGTTATTTTTCTGTTCTTTCATAGTTTTCTGAGACAGCATTCTCTTGGTTCTTCTGCATCTCTCTTGACCAAAATCAATTTGGTGTTATTCAAATTAGTACTATTAAAGAACTTTATTAAGTTTTATAACATATATGATGCACACATATATATATATGTGCATACAAATAAAGCCATATGAGGTGATTTTTTACAGTGGAGGAAAACTATGGGTCAGAGAGATTAAATGGTTTTGCTCAAGGTCCCTGAGCTGGAAAAATGACAAGGGGAGAATTTAAACCCATATCATCCTGAGTAAGTCCATTCAGTGCCTTCATTCTGCCTAGTCTCATTCGAGATAGAGACTGCAGTCATGTAGGTTCTATTCTCATTCCTTAGCCACACTCCTTTTTCTTTCTAGGATGATCTCAGTTACTCCTGGTTTTAACTACAACCTGTATATTGATTACTACCAAAATAGACGTTTATTGCAGGCAGCCTCAGTTTCAGAGGAGTATACTTACCTGACAGCCTGTTCCTCCAAGGTGTTCTGTGGGTACATCCTACTGTTGCAGATGTTCACAGCTTGTTATCTATTTTTGCACACACTGCCCCCAGTAATGCTCATCTCAGTTAATGGTAGTACTGGACACCCAGATGTATGTGCCAGAAGTCGGTTGTCCTTCACTTGGGGTTATCTTCTTCCTGACGCCTCTTGGTCAAATCCTCCAAATGTCTCTTAAATTTATTATTTCCTTTGCATTGCTATTATAGTATGGTAGTTCAACCTTTTTCTCATTTTTCACCTTTATATTAACGATAATGTAACCAGTTTCCCAGCTTTTGTTTTCTAATTTATTCTATTTAGTAAATTTCTTAAGTGCAGATTTGATCATTTAGTAGCTTTCACTGTCTGTAGCAAAGGCTTAGAGTCAGTGGCTCACGGGATTCACTTAGAGTGTTTTGTTTGACCTCCATGTGGTTGGCTTCATGTGATGATCATCATTGGTTAATTTATACTGGTAGACTGAGTCATGATCTCATGGAGGTACATTTGGCAGTGATTAGATGAAAAGTGTTTGATACTTGTTGGATAGTAGGTTATCCAGGCTATCTTGTTAGCAGTCTCAGTCTATAAGGAAATCTGTGTAAAGAAATGTAAAGGGAAAAAAATCAGTTTTGTTTCAAAAGTATTTTTCAATATTATTTCGAAGTAATTTCTAGCCTCTTCTTTACTCTGGTTGATTTATAAGATGGATGTGCCTTAGCATAGGTGACTTAAGGATTCTGATCTTAAGGAAAATAATAATGTTCAACTTTTCCTGCTACTCCATACCTGTTTAGGCCCTGCTGGCCCTTGATGGAACTGCTGGGACATAAGGTTATTTGTTTAGTCCTAAGTTGTGTCCGACTCTTTGCGACCTCATGCACTGGAGCAAGTAGCTTGAGAACTAACAACTCCTGAAATCCAGTAGGTATTAGCATGAGAACAGTTCTCATAATGCAGTTCTCCTAAGATAGGTTGAAATGCCTGATTTCTTAGAGGCTTCAAATTTATGTTTAGGCTCTTAGTTCTTGTTAGTTAATGCTATTGGGTTACTTCTAGTACTCAAGAAAAGCAAAGGATAATTATTAACCACTTTGAGCCAGGATGAATTATAAAAATGTGTACTACTGCACGAGTTGGCACCTGAGCAGTGTGGTATTACCTGTGCAAAAGAGTAAAGACTATTTAAAGGATTTATTGGAAGCTATTGTACGATCTCATAGTATATATATGTTCGTTTAAAATTTTGGACTTTTGGGAGAAGGTGAGGGTGGGATGTTTCAAGAGAACAGCATCGAAACATGTATATTATCTAGGGTGAAACAGATCACCAGCCCAGGTTGGGTGCATGAGACAAGTGCTCGGGCCTGGTGCACTGGGAAGACCCAGAGGGATCGGGTGGAGAGGGAGGTGGGAGGGGGGACCGGGATGGGGAATACATGTAAATCCATGGCTGATTCATGTCAGTGTTTGACAAAAACCACTACAATATTGTAAAGTGATTAGCCTCCAACTAATAAAAATAAATGGGAAACAAAAAATAATAATGATAAAAAAAGATAAAAAAAAAAAGAATATCTGAAATTGAATCCCTGTTCTTCCACTTGTTAAACATAATCATGGGCAAGTTACTTACTTTGATTTTTACTTCTGCAAATACAGGAAAATAATGACACTTGTGAAAATTAAGTAAGCTTATAAATAAATCTACATTAAAATAATAACTAAGAAAAATTTCAATAAATATTAGTCAACATGATTACTTTTAAAGATTTTTTTTTAATTTGTAAAAATCTCTTTATACTCATATCCCTTAAGGTAATTTTTTGATGACAATCAGTATAAATAATAAAGGATTCATTATACTAAAAAAAAAAATGTGTGGTTCATAAATTCTATTTTAAAGTGCTACAGTGACTTAGAAATTAAGAATCATGTCTGAATCAAAATGAAAAACTACCCTACTTTTTTCAGTTATATCTATAAATTATTTTAAAAGCTTCTCTATCAAGCTTAAGCTGTCAAGAGTAGAATATCTGGAATGAGAAGGATCTAGATAATAAAAGTTAGTTTAAAATTTATCCCATGAGGGAAAGAGAATAGTGACTGGTCCTCTGAAATAACACAGTGTATGAAGCTCTGAAGTATACACACAGACCTTGGGAAGGGATCAGTGAATCCAGACTGCTGCAGATCTAGCAGCTTCTCTTCTAAGTCAGCAGTGCTAAGAAGTTTACATTTAATATAGGAATAAGGGGGCTGCTGTAGGCTTCTGGATAGGAAGTTGGTATCCTGAAAATAGAGTTTTCAGATGAATGAGAGATGCCGGAAATGGGAAACAGAGACCAGTCATGAAAATGTTGCACTTGATCCAAACGAAGAGTCAACAAATGCATTGGAAGTGAAAAAAGAAAATAATGGGAAGAGGTGATGAATAGTTTAGAACAGGAGGACCAGCTGATGAAAAGGAGATAAAATGGAGCGTGAGGTAAGTGGTGCTAACGTTCTAGGTAGGATTCCTGATGGTCGTGGTACACTGCACAGAAAAGGAGTGGTTTAGAGCAGAGGCTCTTAAAGAAAGGCACATGTAATGGTGCAGATATGACAGCTAGGTTCCCCCTACTCAGAAATGTTACATTTCTTCCTGTTGTTATATCCTGCCAGATGGGTAAGCTCACTGGGCAGAAATTACATTTTTGTTTTTTTTCTGTCCCCATTGCCTTGTTGTACCTGGCGTGTAGTACACATTTGGTCAGCACTTGCTGAATGAGAGAGGGGGCCCTCGTGAATTTTCTGAGTCAGCTCTGCCACTTAGTAGTGGATGGACCTCTGCCGAATTCTTTAAACTCTCTAAACTGCAGTTTTCTTACACATAAAATGGGGATCCTAATGGTACCACAAATACGTACCTCCTATTATTCAGCCATCTGCAATGCTTAGGGCTGTCTCTGATGCGTAATAGGCACTCCATAAATATTAGTGACTGTTTTTATTTCCTGGAATTCGTGACTTTTATGATCTGGCTCCAGGCTGCTTTTCCAGACTTGTGTTCTACTGGTAGTTTTTACCATCCATGCTTGCTGGAAAGTTACCCGTTTATTCATTTCATTAATTCGAAGAAGTATTTTTCAAGGACTGCCTGTCTGCCGGCCACAGTTCTGGACACCGTCTGGCAGCCCTCACGTTCTAGAGAGTATGTGCAGACAAAGAGAGAACAGAATTATTTCACATAGTGGCAAGTACTGTGAGGAAAAGAAAACAGTTTTGTATCGGATACTAACTTCACTGGGGGTTGGGGAGTGAAGGGTGGTTTGGATTGGGGGTCAGGTTAGGCCTGAGAGGTGTGTGAGTCAAGACCAGAGTGACCTAGGCCAGAGGTGCCTCCCTGCCCGAGAGTCTGGTTTCAGGTGAAGCAGGCGTTTTCTCTCGAGCTGAGGCTTCCTCTCTCTCTCCTGTTCCCCTTTCCTCAGCTGGAAGCATGGTTGGAAACCCAGCAGGAAATTATGAGGGTTATAGTGAGGATGGAAGGGAAGGTTCAGTGGTACTTGGAAGGAAATGACTTTGTAAGCAGTGGACAGAAGAGACTAAAATGTTGAATGAAGCTCCATGGTGTAAGCCCTGGAGGCCAGAGCTCGAGTTGAGTGAAGGTGGGAGGGAATGTGTGTAAACGATTGTGGCCTTGTGCTTTATTATTTCCCATCGTTTCCTAGAATTGGCAGAGGAGTTACGCCGTTGAGATTTTTGTTGTCTTTGCTTTCAGTTTCAGTTGTCTATGAACACTGAGTAGACCTTTGATTTTGATGCAGCAAATGTGTGTTTTTATACAGAGATTTTGTGGTTGTTGCCTAAATACTTGTATCGTTAATAGCCGTTTTCACCTTGGCAGAACCTGTCCAACGAATAGTTATAGGAGGTGAGCATGAAGGGCCTTGTGAAATCTGGGATGGTGGCAAGTGGTACTTGAATATTGCGCACTCTTTGCACACATTTCCTTTAATCTTAGAACTCTGTTCATCTCAGTGATTCTAAGAGTTCGTCACAGTTGGTCTTTCTTTATAAAGCTGTTTCCCTCTGGTTGACACAGGGACCTTCCACGTGTCTGTAATAGTCTGTTCCATTTTGTTACCTAGTGATTGTGATTTTGTTTTTAGTTCAAAAATGAAAAGGTACACATTTAATGGAGATAAAATATAAATTAGAGAACTTACTTGAATTTGATCTTTTTAAGCATTTTCTGTTTAATTCTTTGCAGAGTGAACTCGGCTTATTTAAGGAGAATCTGAGAATGAGCAAATTAACTTGTAGAGGGTCTCACCCTTGGATAGCAGCTCTTGAGCTCTAAAAGTATTGGAAATTTTGGGAGCAAAACCCTTGAGTGTTTTAAGTGAGACTGTGGTAATAGGATTTTTTTTTTCTACCCTAGAGGTCTTACTTTTTGTCTCTTAGGGCCTTTCAAAGAGAGTTTGGCTGATAATTTTTATCTTTTTAAAAAATTATATTTCTAATTTCTTTGGGGTGTATTGCTGAACTATTCTGTAGTTGATTATCACCCTAAAGTTATTGTTCTAAAATTCCAAGTTCTTTCTTTCCTACTGATTTTGACATAGCATCTTGATACTACATTTGTTTTTCAGGTATCTCAACACACAGTTTATTAAAAAGAATAAACTGACAGAAGCTGATCTTCAGTATGGTTATGGTGGTGTAGATATGAATGAACCACTTATGGAAATAGGAGAGGTAGGAAATTCTTTAAAAGACTGGAAAACATAAACATGTTTTTATATACTAAGTTAATGTGATTCACTGACTTCTTAAGAACACTGAGTTGATTGTCTTAAAATTGTCAAGATTTGAAACATCCTAAATTTTAAATAAATGAAATACTGTTATGATTTACTAAGACTTTCACATAGATGAGAAGAACAGAAAAGATGTGGGATGAGCATTATTTTAATAATTAAGTTAATGGTGGATGAATGCCAGAAGGTTAATAGTTTGCCGTATGAAGAAGCTCATAAAATGTATTTAGAAAATGTTGAGACTCTTACAGTTTAAAAAAAAAAATGTGAAGGACATGGACTTAAGAGAGAACCCAGAAGAGATGAAATAGAAATCTGTGGATGCAGCAAACTTCTTTTAACTAAGGTTTTATAAAAATCATTTATTTCTGTAAGATTTTCAGTTAATGATAAAACCTTAATTCTGTTCCTTATTCAGAATGTCCGACATGAGAGTCAGTATCATTTTAAATTAAGACATTTATTTTCCTTATGTATATTCAGTTTTTATTTGAGTTTTGAAATAAAGTTATAAATACTTCTTCTGATAGGCATTTACTTTTACAAATGTTTAAAGAAAACACTGAGTAGTTCAGCCTTGATGATTCTCATTTTTCCTGGCAGCTAGCATTGGACATGTGGAGGAAATTGATGGTTGAACCACTTCAGACCATCCTTATCCGAATGTTGCTCCGAGAAATCAAAAAGTGAGTGTTGACATTGATCTTCTTGAGTTGGTTCTGATTTGCTGATTGAAATGGTTTAAAATAGTGAACACTGGCCTGGCTGTCCACTGCACATAGGCCCCATTTTACTGTAATGACCCTCTTTTTCCATTTTAATAAAGCCAATATTTTAAAGTGGTGTTATAATCTTTTGGTTTTGGGGGGCAAAACCAACAAGATTTTACTATGACATCATATGCTTAGTAAATAAGTAAGTCCTCAAAGGAAGTGACTTCTGTAGCCCTGAAACCTCTTGGATCCTGTAGGCAGTGCTGCTGAGTTGTTTGACATATTCTCGGTTGAAACCCTGATGATGATAACCTGCTCAGGAAAAGAGATTCTTCTAGTTGGTTGGTTACCTTTATAACCAGTTAACCCATGAGGCAAATTTATGAGAAAAAGGCTCTAGAATGGTTGATTCTGCTTGTGGCCCAGAGAGGATGGCTTGTCTAAGCTGCTGTGTGAATGGATTGTGGCACAGTGGAAGTTTTCCTGTGGAGTCCAGAGCGGGGCGTCCTTGGCTCAGGTGTGGCCTAGAAGATTCTTATTAGACCTTAGGTGACTGGAACTGCTGTGAAGGGAATTCCCTAGACCAGTGAATTGCCACATGTGAGTGGCCACTCCCTCTGAAACTGCTTTCTTTAAGAAGACCCAAATAGGGAGTTTTTATGTGAGGAAAAAAAGGAAAGCATTGTTCTTACTATGGGGCTCCTAATAGGAAATAAGAGGTTATGAAAAAAAGTTCACAAAAGAGGATAAGACACTATTTTAATAGTTAATGTTAATACCAAATAGGAAGTATGTGGTAGGAATTAATAACTTGGTTTTTAAAAACGGTCACTCACACTTTAATAATTCCGTTGTCTCCGGAGGGGATGAGAGAGAGGAGGCTGTGGAGTGGCAGGGTGGAGCTGTTTCTTCCTTCTGTTTTCTCTGCTGAACTGTGAATGACCAAAAGGGCCCTCCCAACAAGGGTTTTAGGTGCTAATGTAATTTCCTTTGCTAAAAATATCAATTTTATTCTTGAAATTCAGCTATTTTACAAGTATAATGGAAATACTGTTATAAATTTTCTAAATGCATTTTTAATGTGTGTCTGTTTTATAACAATTTTGATCTAACCTAGTAAATTTTTAAGTGTGATTATTAGCTTGTTAAAAGTGAATTTAGTGAAAAATTAAGGAAAGCATGACTGTGTAAGAAAAACAGTAACAACTGTAGGATACTAATTCTGGAGAAGACGTAGAGACTGGGGTCAGAGACATTAGGCCAACTCATTTTAGTTTTGTTGTTATAATCAGTTTCCTTCACAGTATTATTTGACATGCTTTACTAATACCTTATTTTTTTATGTCTGCTTTATTAAGTCAGTATTACTTTACATTTTCTAGCGAGGGGCACTAAGGCTTAATAATAACAATAAAATATGGAAACTGTGTGCCAAGCAGCTATTGAAGTTTTGCATGCTAATCCCATTTAATCCTAGCCACCCTAGGAGACTGGTATGATTTTTCCATTTATAATGTGTTAATCTTCTTTGAAGATTTCAGAATGTTGAGGGCAGTCTCAGCCTTGAGGTAAAGTTATCTGTCAGGCTAATGGAGGATTTTTTTCAAAAGCAGAATGTAGATTACAGAATTTTTTTGTTTGCTTAAGAGAGTCAGTGAAACAACTCTTAGTTTAATTTTTGTTTTTTGTGGTATCATTAAATCTGTACACACAAAATTTAATTGATAGTCCAAAAGTAAAGTTGCTCCTTCTGTTTAAGGAAGCAAGAAACAAGTGATGGAGTCATAGATTGTGTGTCAGCATATTTTCATAGTGTCTGCTTTACTAAGGAAAGATAGAAGTAATTCTATTCATATAATAACTTGTCTTTTGTAGTAAAATAGTAGAATGCCAACTGGGACTTTCAGTGTAGTAACAACCTAACATTGATAATTTTAATAAATGCTGTAATTTCATGGATCTAAATGTTACAGTGTAAGAATGTGAAATTGGAGAGAAGAAAGCAGATCAGTTTTTTAATGCAAGTAACAGGAATTGTTTAGATACTTAAGGATACTACTGAAAACACAAACTCTTTAATGTTAAATGGATTCAAAATTGCTTTCCTTTTTCCCAGTGGCTCTGCAGTTAACTTTCTAGTTTCAGATAGTCTTTGTGCAAAAATAAAAACTTTAAATAAAATTCTGTGTTCACCTGTGAATTAGGAGCAATTTATAACATAGGTTGCTGTGACTGATTTTTTGTTGTTGTTTTCTCTGACATGTTCATAGGCTTTTTATTCTGTTTCTAAACTGTTAAGATTTCATTGAGGAAAAATGTAGATTTCATTGAAGAAAAATATAATCTTGGATAAAAATAAAATTTAATGCATGTGTATTAGTCACTCAGTTGTGTCTGACTCTTTGTGTCCAACTCCATGGATTATAGCCAGTCAGACTCCTCTGTCTATGGAATTCTCTAGGTAAGAATTCTGGAGTGGGTTGCCATTCCTTTCTCCAGGGGATCTTCCTGACCCAGGGATCAAACCCAGGTCTCCTGCATTGCAGGCAGATTCTTTACCATCTAAGCCATCAGGGTCTCTTAAAATTTAATGTAGTAGGCTTAATTCTTTCATATCTAAGTTTCTAAGAGAGGTTTAAATTTCCCAACTCATTTTAGATTTATTGATTTTCATCCTTGCAGTGGCTATTTTTGCTTTATGAATTTTGGGCCTCTGTTGTTGGTTGAATAAATATGAGGATTATTCTCTTCATGGGTTTCACTGTTATGTACTAACTTTATCTTGTGCTCTTTTTACATGTTCTGTCACATGTTAATATTGTTATAACAGTTTCCTTGGATTTTGGGGGATTTTGTTGTGTGTGTGTATCATTTAACCTTCTTAGTGTAAAATTAAATATAGATAGAGGAGACCATACAATACAAATGTATAGCTGAATGAATTATTGAAAGGCAGATGTGCTTCTGACTGCCACCCCGGTTAAGAACTGGAGCCGTGCCAGCCTCCCCTGAAGCCCTGTGTGCCCCAGCCCCTGCCTTTTTCCCAGAGAGACAGCTGTCCTGACTTTTGTGCAGTCACTTTCCTCTGTTTCTTTATGGTTTTTTCACCCATGTGTGCATTCCTAGATGCTATAGTTTAGTCCTGTTCATCCTAAAAAACATTTTAATCAACAGATTTCTCCTCCATCCTTTATTTTTTTTCCATTTGTAATACATTTGTTTATGAATCCTGGCCATTTGATCCTCACGCTTTCCCACTGTCTAGATTTTGCCAGTTGAGTGCAGGAGGCCCATTTATATGTGTTCCTTTGTCCTGTGTGTTTCCTGTAAATTGGCAGTTAAGTGGCCTACTCAGAATCAGGTCGGTTCTCGCTGGCAAACCAAGATACTTTGTTCTTTCATAATGTATGATTTTTTACTCCTTTTTTTAATTTAAGCAGCCACTGAGGTTAAATGCTGGCATCTTTTAGTTTATTGAGGTTTGTAAAATGGTGCCACTTTAATCCTGTTGTTTGATTTTCATTTTTTCACTTGAAATATACTTACTGTTGTCTATTATTTGGTTATCATAAATAACTGCTTTTTTTCCTTTTCTTTACCCATTTGTCAGGATAATGAATTGGTTTGCTGTCATCTTCAGGAAGTGGCCAGTTATTTTTTCCATCCAATATATCGTGATGAAACTTAAAGACTTAAATATATTTGATTTGTTTCTATTGTCTCGATTTTATTTAAGTTTGAATAGCCTCTCTTTGGTTAGTTGGTGCCAGAGTCTTTTTGCTAGGACTGTTGTCATCCTTGATAACTTTCTTGCTATCTCATATGTCAGGATGTTCCAGGCTTATCTTGTACATTTTCTTCCTCAGACCTGGCACCAGCTGCTCAGTGAAAAACTTAGTTCCAAACCCACAAATGATATGTAAATGCATTCTTGAAAAACATTTAATGCTCCAGATCTTTTCCTCTCCCTGGAGGTAATCCCTGTTTATTATTTGGTTAACTGTCTTTTCAAACTTTTTCCTATGAATTTTTATATCTATGTACAGAAATAAATACAGAATTTTTTTTGTTTTCTTTTTCCAAGTGTATAATTTTTTCATTTTTTCCTAACTTTTAAAAATCATTTATGACATGCTGATTTATCTATCGTGATAATTTCTCTGTGTTTGTACACAGAGATCTCACCTTCCTCCTTCCTAAACTCTGTATCTGGTATGCCTCTACCTCATTTTAGTGAACTCTTCTAGTGATGTGTATTAGGTTGTTCCCAGTCTTTTCATTAGTACAACTCCGAGTTCTGTTATGCACATGGACAGCTTTTTAGAGCCACAGACTATATGCATTTAGAATTTTGCCCTCTATAAAGCACCTGTTCTGCCAAAGGCAGAGTATGGGAACCCATTTCTCTACCACTCATCAAGCCTTGATGCTACCAAATCTTGCTAGTCCTTGATTTCCTGGTACCACTGGGGGTGCCCTCAAGTGAATACCGCAGAGTCTGGGTGCAGGCAGTTTCCTTCTTCCTGGGACTACGCTCACTGCTCCTACAGGGACGCACTGAGCAGCAAGTCTGTCTGTGAGCTCACTGGTTTTGTGCCAGCCCTCTTTGAGTAATGCCACTCCTTGCCCATCCTCCTTCACGTCTTCCACCTCCTTCTTGTAGCCATCCTTTCTCTTGTTCATTTTTGTTTTTCTGTGCTATCTAGTCTTCGTTCCATCTTATTTTCAATTTCTACAGGTTCAAGGGCTATTGCCAACAATGGAATATTAAAAAGTATCCTTCCTATCACTTCACAGGTTTGGCTTGAGGCAGGAGACTGCATTTAATTTAATCTTCTCATCTTAATCACAGGGTCAAATGAAGTTTTCACTAAGAGATTAATTTGCCCATTGTCACATAGCAGAATCAGGACTTACGAGAGTTTCAGCCTTTTTGTTGTTGTTAATTTTTGGCTGCACTGGGTCTTCATTGCTGCATGAGGGCTTTCTCCGTCGTGGCGAGCGGGGGCTACTCTCTAGTTGTGATGCGTGGGCTTCTCATCGCCATGGCTTCTCTTATTGCGGAGCACAGGCTCTAGAACACAGGCTCAGTAGTTATGATGCACAGGCTTAGTTGCCTCCTTGGGCATATGGGATCTTCCCGAACCAGGAATTGCACCCATGGCCCCTGCATTGGCAGGCGGACTCTTATTAACCGCTGTTACACCAGGGAAGTCCCTCAACCTAACTTTTAATGACCATCACAAAGCTAGTCTGCCCTGTTAGATGCCTTGGACTTAAAATCACACTCAGTGCTTTTTTTTTTTTGGTCTCTTAGCTTTCTTCTGCTTCCATTTTGCTCAGTCTGTACTTAAAATGCTAGCTTAGTGATGCTTCATTCATTTACTAGACACTGTGCTGCATACTTTCTTGGATTATGCTTAATCTTTACCATATCCTCTTGAGAGTAGGTGCATTTCTTATCCCCACTTTACAGATGGAGAAATCTGAGTACTAAAGGTTAAGCACCTGCACATGGTGACATATTAATGCAACCAGAACTTGAGCCTAGGCAGTCTGACTCCAAAATCCGGGTCTTAAGAACTACAATAAACAATTCCTATAAGCTCCCAGCCGAGTGATTTCATTGTGGTTGTTGTAGGCATTTTCCACTTAGTTCTGTCAAGATCCAATAATGAACCACATAATAAAAATACTTTATATTCTTTTCTCAGGGCTCATCTCTTGGGATCACTGTTCTTAGATAAATCCAGAGCTTATTCACATAACCAGCTTAGTCATTGATTTTATATAGTACTACCTTAGCATCACTTCAGTTTATTTTCATTATCTGTCAACTTACTAGAAATAAATTACAATGATTTTGTTGTACATTTTGTGCAGTTATAAAAGTATGCAGTGATCTTAAAGATGGAATAATTTTACCTAAAGGTTTATGAGTTCAGATGTTATTCTTACAGTAGAAGACAGCTTAGTCATTAAGCACTAGGAATATTGATATTCTTTCTAGGGAACACCTTATCAGATTCCTGCTTCTCTGGGCCTTTTGTGGTCAGAAACAAAGGGCAGGAGTAGGAGTGGGTGTTTTATGGATGCTGAGCAGGGACAATAGGATTTGGTCATGAAAATAACTTTAGGTAACCTCATTCAGATATTTCTCACTTTGTCCCAGACAGAGTTAAAAGGCAAAGAGCTATGTGCTTCAAATTGATAAATTAAGTCATATCATTTTTTCACCAGATTTAATTTGGGCTTAAGAGGGAAGGTGAGCAGAAGACATGAGCTCACCTAGTATCACCTTGTATGTATTTATTGTTCTTATTAGTGATGACAAAATGTAGACTTTGTAACCGAGATTTTATGACTGTCAGAAGGACTGTAGCCATATTAATTCAATCACAAAAAAACTTTCCCCAGAATATCCAGATAATTAAAGGAAGAAGGAAAGAGGCTTAGAGGGAGGTGGAGACAAGGAAGGACACTAACTTACACTTTTCTGTTGCTTTTTTAGTAAAATAATTATTCATTCAAAGAAAGAAAATATTTTAAAGTGAGGTGGAAGATTACCAATAGAAAGGTAAACCTTTGACTGGATAATGGTTTGATTTAGGTATTATTACTGGATTCAGAGCCTTCCAACATAGAGCCAGGCTGTTTTACTGTGGCTTTAGGCAAACTTTTTTTTTTTCCTATTTCTATAATTAGAAAAATAAAAAATTCACCTACATTTCTTATTGTGATTAAGACTTGCATCCCCATAGTGCCCTTGACTGAGTAGGAGCTTGTCAAAAGTCACATGAATAATTGAGATGATTTTAGATCCCTTTGTAACTGTAAAAGAATATAGAAATATTAAAGCATATCTCAGTAAATTCTAAGTAGAGAATTACCTTTGTGCTTAGATGAAAGCAACTCAGTGGCTCTAGCAGATATCTTAGAGAACAATAGTTATTAGTTGTTTCAATGAGCAAAATACTGTATAGAGTGTACTTTTGAGGAATCCCGTCAGATTACTGCAGGCATAGTTGTGATGGTTTAAAAACTGGATTCTCAGACCAAATCCTCTAGTAACAGAGTTTGTGGTGACTGAAATTCAAATATTCTTAACCACTGGTATTGCAAGTCTTGAATTGATGGGCTCATAGCTACTCCGTTAAAATTGAAGAAGTATCTTAGTATCTACATAGTATCTTTAATTTTACACTTATGCTTTTCTGTTGTTTATTGAAATGACATCTAATGGGTACATTCAGTCAGTTGAGTTCAGTCTCTCATTCGTGTCCGACTCTTTGCCACCCCATGAACTGCAGCACACGAGGCCTCCCTGTCCATCACCAACTCCCAGAGTCCACCCAAACCCACGTCCGTCAAGTCGGTGATGCCATCCAACCCTCTCATCCTCTGTCGTCCCCTTCTCCTCCTGCCCTCAGTCTTTCCCAGCATCAGGGTCTTTTCAAATGAGTCAGCTCTTCGCATCAGGTGGCTGAAGTATTGGAGTTTCAGCTTCAACATCAGTCCTTCCAGTGAACACCCAGGACTGATCTCCTTTAGGATGGACTGGTTGGATCTCCTTGCAGTCCAAGGGACTCTGACGAGTCTTCTCCAACACCACAGTTCAAAAGCATCATTTCTTCGGCACTCAGCTTTCTTGATAGTTCAGCTCTCACATCCATACATGACTACTGGAAAAACCATAGCTTTGACTAGACGGACCTTTGTTGGCAAAGTAATGTCTTTGCTTTTTAATAAGCTGTCTAGGTTGATCATAACTTTCCTTCCAAGGAGCAAGTGTCTTTTAATTTCATGGCTGCAATCACCATCTGCAGTGATTTTGGAGCCCAACAAAATAAAGTCAGCCATTGTTTCCACTGTTTCCCCCATCTATTTGCCATGAAGTGATGGGGCTGGATGCCATGATCTTAGTTTTCTGAATGTTGAGTTTTAAGCCAACTTTTTCACTCTCCTCTTTCACTTTCATCAAGAGTCTCTTCAGCTCTTCATCACTTTCTGCCATAAGGGTGGTGTCATCTGCATATCTGAGGTTATTGATATTTTTCCCAGCAATCTTGATTCCAGCTTGTGCTTCCTTCAGCCCAGCGTTTCTTATGATGTACTCTGCATATAAGTTAAATAAGCAGGGTGACAATATATAGCCTTGACATACTCCTTTTCCTATTTGGAACCAGTCTTTTGTTTCATGTCCAGTTCTAACTGTTGCTTCCTGACCTGCATACAGATTTCTCAAGAGGCAGGTCAGGTGGTCTGGTATTCCCATCTCTTTCAGAATTTTCCACAGTCTATTGTGCGCTACACAGTCAAACGCTTTGGCATAGTCAATAAAGCAAAAATAGATGTTTTTCTGGAACTCTCTTGCTTTTTCTATGATCCAGCGGATGTTGGCAATTTGATCTTTGGTTCCTCTGCCTTTTCTAAAACCAGCTTGAACACCTGGAAGTTCACGGTTCACGTATTGCTGAAGCCTGGCTTGGAGAATTTTGAGTATTACTTTACTAGCGTGTGAGATGAGTGTAATTGTGCGGTAGTCTGAGCATTCTTTGGCATTGCCTTTTTTTGGAATTGGAATGAAAACTGATCTTTTCCAGTCCTTTGGCCACTGCTGAGTTTTCCAAATTTGCTGACATATTGAGTGCAGCACTTTCACAGTGTTATCTTTCAGGATTTGAAATAGCTCAACTGGAATTCCATCACCTCCACTAGCTTTGTTCATAGTGATGCTTCCTAAGGCCCACTTGACTTCACATTCCATTAACTGTCATAAACATTAATTCAGCTGCAATATTAAAAATTGCATTTTAAGTATCATGCATGCATTGACCTTGAAAATACTTCATAAGTAAAGTGATTAGACCAATAAAATAAGCAGCCATATTTTGGCATACTTTGGTATATTTCCATGGATACTTGTATTCTCAAGAATGTTTTTTGTTTTACCTTGTTTTAGTGATCGTGGTGGAGAAGACCCAAACCAGAAAGTAATCCATGGGGTTATTAACTCCTTTGTTCATGTTGAACAGTATAAGAAAAAATTCCCTTTAAAGGTAACAGAGCTTCCTTTAAAACATAAATTATTATTAATTTCTTAGGTTGCTTATTCTGATTTTTAAAATATTATTTCATTGATTTATTTAGTTTTATCAGGAAATCTTTGAGTCTCCCTTTCTGACTGAAACAGGAGAGTATTACAAACAAGAAGCTTCAAATTTACTACAAGAATCAAACTGCTCACAGTACATGGAGAAGGTAGGAAAGCATGGTGGTAACTGTTGTCATCTATTAGAGATCAGGTGTGGCTTACTTAATATTAGTTATCTTAGTGAATATTCTTTTTGGTAGAAAAGGTTCCGTTTTTCTTGATCAGTCATTGCTCTTGCTTGACATTTTCCATGAGAAAAAAATGCTGTCCCAGTTTCATTGTGGTCAGTGCTTTCTGGTAATCCTGATTAATCTAAAACTAATATGTTTCATATTCTTGACAAAATAATAAGCTACATTTTATGCCTAGTAGATAAGAGAATAGGCTAAGTACAAAAGCTAGGTATTGGGAGTTTTTATCTTTCTTCCTCTAAAATAGAAGGAAAAAAAATAGTAAAAATGTAATAATTCTAGATACTTGGTCTTTTGGTCTGTTAAGTTTGTGGAGACTGAGAAAAACTTGCATGAGAAATTTTAATCATTAAACCAACACATTGATAACCATATTTAAAATGGCTATGTATGTTTTCTTAGTCAAAGAATAATCAGATTATAAATTGAGCCATCAGATATGTTAGACATTTTAACTAGTTTTTTTCTTCCACAGTGTTGGATCTCAGGCATTTTATTATCAGATGATTTTTGTTAGTTTGTTCACCTTTAAGAAGTGTTTGAAGTGGAAAAGCTGTAGTGAAGCCTCCATAGGACATAGATCAGAAAATATCAGTACTAACTGATGTGTTACACTGGTGTCTGTCCCACAAACCCAGGTCCAGGAGTTGCTTAATTCTCTTTTGCTTTGTCAGTGATTAGCTCTGGGACCTTGAATAAGTTATCTAGGACATTTTTCTCCATTAAGTGCAGGTTACACTAAGTCAGTGGGTCTTAGCTTTTAGCCCTTTTTACATCTTAGACTCTTGCTAAAGGTTCTAGATCCAGTCTTGAAAGGTACACACAGAGTATCAGTGATATATAAACTCTCATGATTATATCTGACTCTCAAAACAGGCTGTTGGCAAACACTGAAAACAACCCAAATGTCTTTTTCCAGAGTTGAAAAAACAGGCAAAATGTATGTACATACAATGAACTATTATTCAGACTTAGAAAACAATAAAGTTCTGACACATGCTGCAGCTGGGATTAACTTTGAAGACATTATGCTGAATTAAAGAAGCCAGAAACAAAAGAACAAATACCTCATGGTTTAACTTATGTCTAGAATAGACAGTCAGAGAGGCAGAAAGTAGATTAAAATTTTGGGGGAGGGGAGAACAGGGAGTTATAGCTTAATGGTTTCTGAGCTTCTGTTGGGTGTAATGAAAAAGTTTTGGGAATAGACAGTTGTGCAACATTGTAAATGCAGTTAATGCTACTAGATTATATACTTAAAAATGGATAAAATGACAAATTTTATGTTACACGTTGACCACAATTCACAAACACTAATAATATACCAAAAATCATTGAATTATATGTATAGGACAATTGGAGTCAATAAATAAGGGAAAAAGTGCAGACCAGTTGACTTTTGTTCTTTTTCATATGGCAGTGGTGAAGTGTAGCTTAAATAAGATTTTGAAATGATGGAATGTGACTTTGAATTGTGAATAGAATTATATAAATAGTTCTGTTTGTTAATTTGCCATGTAAGTTACTGATATTTCAAGTGTTTTCTTATAGTAGTTCATGACTGTAAGGATCTATTTCTAAAGGTTCTAGGTAGATTAAAAGATGAAGAAATTCGGTGTCGAAAATACTTACATCCAAGTTCATATACTAAAGTGATTCACGAATGTCAACAACGAATGGTAGCAGACCACTTACAGTTCTTACATGCAGAATGTCATAATATCATCCGACAAGAAAAAAAAAATGGTAAGTGATACCAAACATCAGTATGAATAGGAATGAAATTATAAACCAACTTTTTATATCATCTTCCAAACTACCTTAGACTTTAAACATATTTAAGTGATAGTCGATACATTTTTTTAATATGCCTTTTTACAGATTATTAATTATCTATTTTAAAAGAATGTTTGGAAAAGTATATTTTTAAATTATTTTCTAAAGTCAAAAGAAAAACTGGGAAAGTGTGTTTGCACATTTTAAAAAATCACAGGGACTAATTTCTTTAATACATTAAGAGTTTCCAGAAGGAGAAAAAACAAAGAACATGAAAGGGAAATAAAAATAGATTTTATATATCTGAAGATTCTCAGCCTTAGTCAAAATAGAAGTACAAAGTGAAGATAAGAGATGTTAACAAAAAGCAGTGAAAAATTTTTTTTTAGAAAAAAGCAATGAGAATTTTTCAAGAATAGGGAATAAATGTAACAAGATAGATGCCAGATGCGCACAGAAAACTAAACATCATTGAAAGCAGCACTGATAGATCCAGGGCAAGCTTCTCAAAACCCAAGATTATTTTTTTAAACTCTGAAAGTTACACTGTTAGCCTGAACAGTCAAGACAGTTTTGAAGAGCACAGTGAGAAACCTTTGCAGGATAGCATGACTTCTAAAAATTATAGTAATTAAGAAAAGAAGTGGCATGAGGGTAGTCAAAGTGACCAGTGGAATAAAATAAAAAGCCAGGAAATAACTCATGCATACGAAGATACCTCATTTAAGACCATGGCAGCCAGCAGAACAGTGGGTGAAAGATAGCCTTTTGAACACACAGTGCCAAGTCCATTAGATAACCAGTTGGGGAGAAAGTGAAATTTGATCACTACTTCAAACACTATACAGAGTCAGTCAACACTTTGGGCTTTTGATCTCAGTGTAAGGCAGTAACACTTCCAGAAGATAACATAGGCGAATAACTTCAGGACTTGAGGGTAGAGAAAGATATTTTAAATGAGACACAGAAAGCATTAACCACAGGGAAAGATGATCAGGTTTATTACTTTATCGTTAAAAGCTTAAAATAAATACAAAACCATAAGACCTTTGGATCATCAAAAGAGCATCACAATGACAGTCATAGGACAAAGGAACCAAAAATATACAACGTGGAAAGGACGGTCTCTTTAATAAAGGTTTTTGAAGAAACTGGATGACCCGACTTAATACCGTCTACAAAAATTAACTCAAAATGAATTAAACACTTTAACTTGAGACCTGAAGCCATAAAACTCCTAGAAGCAAGCAAAGGTGATAGACTTCCTGATACTTGTCGTGGTGATGGTGTTATGAATCTGACACTAAAGTGAAAGTGAGAGCCGCTCAGTTGTGTCCTACTCTTGGCGACCCTGTGGACTGTCCATGGATTCTCCAGGCCAGAACACTGGGTGGGTAGTGTTTACCGTCTCCTGGGGATCTTCCCAACCCAGGGATCGGACCCAGGTGTCCTGCATTGCAGGCGGATTCTTTACCAGCTGAGCCACAAGGGAAGCGAAAATAAACATGTGGTTCTTCATCAAACTAAAAGGCGTCTGCCCAGCAAAGGGAACCATTAACAAAATGAAAAAGCGACCTACTGAATGGGAAAAAATCACATATCTGATAAAGGACTCATACAACTCAATAGCAAAAAAAAAATTGAAAAATGAGCAGAAGACCTGAATAGGCATTTTTCTAAAGAAGACCTCCAGTTGGCCAACAGGTACATGAAAAGGTGCTCACCATCATTAATCATCAGGGAAATACAAATCCAAAGCACAGTGAGGTATCACCTAGCACCTGTTAGCATGGCCATTATCCAAAAGACTAGAAATAACTAGGATATAAAGAAAAGGAGCTCTTGTGTACTATTGGTGAGAAATGAAAATTGGTGGAGCCACTATGAAGAATAGTATGGAGGTTTCTCAGAAATTAAAAAGTAAAACTTTCATGTGGTCTAGCAATTCTACCTCTGGGTATTTATCTAAAAAGAAAAAGAAAAAAAAAAGCTAAAAAAAGATATAGGCATCCCAGTGTTCATTGCAGCATTATTTACAAGAGCCAAAATAAGGAAACAACTTAAGTGTCTGTCAATAGATGAGTGGATGAAAATAAATACACAAACACAGAGAAATATCATTCAGCTATGTAAACAAAATGAAGTATTGCTATTTTGAAACAACATGGAAGGATCTCCAGGGCATTGTGCTAAGTGAAATGTCAGACAAAGACAAATACTGCGAGATCTCACTTATATATGGAATATAAAAAGCAAAACAAGTGAGCTCATTAATACAGAGAACAGATGGAGTGGTTGCTGAAGTCAAGGTGGTTGGGTGAAGGAAATCACGAGGCTTAATAACTTCCAGTTACTAAAAAAAAAAAGTCATGGGGATGTAATAATATGTAGCATGGTAGCTAGTTAATAATACTGTGTTACATATTTGAAAGTTGCTAAGAGAATAGATTTTAAAACGTCTCATCACAGGAAAAAGGTTATAAATATGTATGGTGAAAGATGTTAACTGGACTGTAATGATCATTTTGCAGTATATAACTATTGAAAATCATTTTGTTATAATCTTTAATATATGTCAGTTATACTTGAAAAAAAGACAGTCATAAGGTTATATATTTGCAATTGTTGAAAAAGGTTTATGTCCAAAATATAAAATAATTTGGACATTTGAACAGTCACTGCAGAATAGAAGATATCTTAGATGGCCAATAAACATATAAAAAAGTCTCTCAATCTCACTAAAACAGGGAAATACAAATTAAAATCACACTAAGGTATCAGTAATTAATTACATTTTGATATAAAATGAAAAAGACTGAAAATAATAAGTGTTTGAAAGTGTATAGAGTAGCAGGAACTTGTTATACATTGGACGTAGAGTATAAATTGATGCACCCACCTTGAAACGCTTGACAGTGAGTAGCCAGTAACACTGAATAACCATATCTCTTACGATCAGCCGTTGCTCTCCTAGGTGTTAACTCCCCCACCCAAAATGCATGCACACATGCACAGAAGAATGTGTGCAAGCATGCTCACAACAGCATTGTTTGTGATAGCCCCAAACTGTAAACAGTACAGATGTCCTGTAACTGTAGAATGAATAAAGTACCACACAGTGATACGATGGAAGATTAAAGAAGAGTGGAAAGGAACACCTGATAGCTGTGTACAACTCAGATGAACCTTTCGTATTGAACCAAAGAAACCAAACCTGAAAGAATCGGATGATTTTGTTCTTACAGATAGTCAGGTCAGGTAGATCTGATCTGTGGTTTAGTTGAGTAGTGTCGTCATGACTGTGATTACTGTTGTGGAAGAGCAGGAGGAGTAGTGAAGGCAAGGGGCTTCCGGGAGGAGGTGGTGTCCATTTCTTACTGTGGGTGGCTGGGGAGGGGGGTCACTTGTGGTAATTCATTGAGCTGCACACTTACGGATTGTATACTCTTCCATATGTGTGTTATACTTCAATAAGAAGTTTAAAATAAAAACCACTACACTGAGATGTCATTTTGCACCTCTCCGTGTGAAGATCACAGCATTTGTTGACAGAGCGCCCAGCTGCTGAGGCCTCTGTCTGCAAGGCCCTTCTGTAAGACAACTTTTGCATAGTAGTCCCACTTCTGGGAATTCATACTATGGATACTCTTGCCCATATGCAGGATTATTAATTGTAACAATGTAAATATCAAAAGATTAGAAACAGCCAAATTCCCATGAGTTGTTAAATAATTTTCATATAGCTGTCAAATGGAGTGTTAAGCAGTTGTAAAATACGAGGAAATGCTTTATGTACTGATATGAAAAGATCTTCAAGTTAAAATGTTGTGTTCTGCAGTCGCAAATAATATATGAAACACGCTTCACTGTTTATTAAAAAAGGTGGGCAGAGGGAAGAATAGTGCTTGAATGGGCAGGAAACAGCTCTGAGAAGATACTACACAGCCACCGCATTGCTTTCCCAGGAGAGGAGTACGGGGGATTAGGAGAAAGGTGTGGGGGACTTGTTTGCATATGCTTCTGTAATTCTGCATTTTGAACCATGTATTACCTGTTGTATTAAAAATATTTTTTAAACTGTTTGTAAATTTCATAATAAATTTCTCTCTCCCCTCAGACATGGCAAATATGTATGTCTTACTCCGTGCTGTGTCCACTGGTTTACCTCATATGATTCAGGAGCTGCAAAATCATATCCACGATGAGGGCCTTAGAGCAACCAGTAATCTTACTCAGGAAAATGTGAGTGACATAAGGAATGGGAAGATTATTCTCTTAATCAGACCATCATGGAGTTTTTCTTTTGACTTTACTGTTTAAAAGCATGAAGGAAAAGTCCTACCATGCCAATAAATGAGACGTCTTTATTAAAATGTTCGAACCTAGATTTTGTTGGACATGTTTTAGAATTATCAGTAATTAGGAAATCAGTAAGACTTCTTACACACTACTGTGTTCATTTAGCAATTCTTAGTTAATTTCTCACAGAAAAGTATGTTTGCAATTTCAAAATAGTTGTTTCTACATAACTAGCATCTATGTTTAGTTAATTGTAGTGATAATGGTGTTAATCACTGATCATATAGACAACTTACAATTTGGTTTCCTTTTACATGTCCTGGGTATGATAGCCAAGGAGGCAAATTTGGATTAAAACTATCTTCCCTAAATACATGCTTACTACCCAAAATACTCAACAGTGACCCTCATGTCTCCAATTCCTGTCTTTCTTAAGAGTTTCCTGCCATTTAAATGACAGTTTACAACAAGGTGTCTTTCTTATCAAAGTATGCTCCTGTTGTCAAATTTTGTTGGATCACCTTCCTTGGTTTTACTAGTAATGGATGACAACTAAGGTAGACATGACATCATATGTCACTTGTCTTCCCTAAGTAGAGCTGTTTGCTCCTCTGTGAGGAGTGATCTGTGTATAGACCTTATTTAAAAAAAAGAAAAGTGATGCCACTCAGTTGTTTCTGACTCTTTGCAACCCCATGGAATTCTCCAGGCCAGAATACTGAAGGCGGTAGCTTTCCCTTCTCCAGGGAGTCTTCCCAACCCAGGGGTCAGACCCAGGTCTCCAGCATTGCAGGTGGATTTTTTCACCAGCTGAGCCACAAGGGAAGTCCAAGAATACTGGAGTGGGTAGCCTGTCCCTTCTCCAGTGGATCTTCCCGACCCAGGAACTGAACCTGGGTCTCTTGCATTGCAGAGGGATTCTTTACCAGCTGAGCTATTAGGGAAACCCTATGGACCTTATTGATCCAGGAACATTTATGAAATGCTGTTCTCCTTAGCCGTAGAATTGTCCTTGGCAGATAATTCTTAGATGTCATGTCCTGTCACAGTCATGTATAAACTTTTCTATTTTTGTTAAACTGTTGGTTTATATTGTTTAGATATAATAGCCTGTATTATTTACTAGTTTTCTTAGTTTATGTTAGTTTTACAGATTCAGGGTGTGGAATGACATTGGTCATAGAGGCATAGAGTTTAATGCCACGGCCTGGGAGATGCAAGTACAAGAGAATGTGTTCATAGGACACTCGGAAAATTTTAGCTGACTTAGAAGTCTTAGGTCTAACTTCATAGTTATCTCCATTAATAGTGAAAACTCGCTTTTGCACTACTAGGTAGGTATTTCTTTACTGTGAGATGTGGGCAACTGTACTTCTGTACTCTTGAGAGTCTCAGTTTTCACAGATAATATATATATATATATTTTTTTAGATAATATGTTTTTAACCTCTCCCCTCTCTCAGCCTTTAGTGGCTTTGAAGACCATTTTTGTTTACATAATGCCCCAAGAAATTGATAGGCCTGGTAGTTCTGAGGTTGTATCTTGTTACCTTTATGATACAGAATCCCAGCACCAGAGAGGTGTGTTTTCCATGGGTTCTTTTGGAAGAGGAACCACAGTCCTCCATTTCTGGTATTGAATGACAGCTAATTTCAACATTGAAGTTTTAGATTTTGACTGTTTTAGCTAAAAACATTTTTTGAGGATGTGTGTTGTGTGTAACATTGCTTGCTGGGGGAAAACTTTACTCTTAAGTAGTCGTTACTAAGCCTAATTGTTATATCCCTGAACTTCTTAAAATATGATTTTGTATTTCTTATTTTTAGATGCCAACACTATTTGTGGAGTCAGTTTTAGAAGTACATGGTAAATTTGTTCAACTTATCAACACTGTTTTGAATGGTGATCAGCACTTTATGAGTGCGTTGGATAAGGTAACTTTTCAATACATGTATCTTTATCTGTATATAATTCTCCTAATTTAATCATTCTTTAAGTAGTTTCAGAAATAGGGATACTAATTATGAGATTTCTAATCTGTACACGAAGATTAACCTTAACCAACCAACTTCATAGTGAAAGTCAGAAGTATGTAACTTATAACTTTTAAGTAAATAACTGAATTATTAAATTGAATGCTTGGATTATATGGGAATTGAATTTCCCTTGATTTTGCTGTAAAAGGAGACTTGTTAATACACTAGTACATTCTGAGAATTACATGTATAATTTTAGTATTATTTAGTGCTCTTTTTTCCTTTGAATATAATACTTAGGCTATATTGAATAATACTTGAAAGAAAATTAAATATATTTTACAAACTTGAATTTAAATTTGTTTACATGTTTGTTGTAAGATTTTTCACAATATAGTTTTATTCTGTGTTCAGATATTAGAAATGAGTTATAAAGAGCATCTTTCAGTAGGAACAGGATATATATAATCATTATATAATTGTCATGAGGGATACAAGGATTAGAGTTTACTTTGTATTATATATGAAAAGAATATTAATAAACTACCACCAAAATGCCATGTTTTGTTTGAGGTAGTAATTTCTGGATGTACCGATTATAGCATATATTAAGTCAACTGTATTTTTACCCAGTTCAGTTCAGTCGCTTAGTTGTGTCTGACTTTTTGTGACCCCATGAACTGCAGCACACCAGGCCTCCCTGACCATCACCAACTCCCAGAGTTTACCCAAATTCATGTCCATTGAGTTGGTGATGCCATCCAACCATCTCATCCTCTGTTGTCCCCTTCTCCTCCTGCCCTCAATATTTCCCAGCATCAGGGTCCTTTCAAATGAGGCAGCTCTTTGCATCACGTGGCCAAAGTATTGGAGTTTCCGCTTCAACATCAGTCCTTCCAATGAACAATAAGGACTCATCTCCTTTAGGATGGACTGGTTGGATCTCCTTACAGTCCAAGGGACTCTCAGGAGTCTTCTCCAACACCACAGCTCAAAAGCATCAATTGTTTGGTGCTCAGCTTTCTTTTTAGTCCAACTCTCACATCCATACATGACTACTGGAAAAACCATAGCTTTGACTAGACGGACCTTTGTTGGCAAAGTAATGTCTTTGCTTTTTAATAAGCTGTCTAGGTTGATCATAACTTTCCTTCCAAGAAGCAAGCATATTTTAATTTCATGGCTGCAATTACCATCTGCAGTGATTTTGGAGCCCAAAAAAGTAAAGTCAGCCATTGTTTCCACCGTTTCCCCATCTATTTGCCATGAAGTGATGGGACCATATGCCATGATCTTAGTTTTCTGAATGTTGAGTTTTAAGCCAACTTTTTCACTCTCCTCTTTCACTTTCATCAAGAGGCTCTTTAGTTCTTCATCCCTTTCTGCCATAAGGGTGTCATCTGCATATCTGAGGTTATTGATATTCCTCCCAGCAGTCTTGATTCCAGCTTGTTCTTCATCCAGCCCAGTGCTTCTCATGATGTACTCTGCATATAAGTTAAATAAGCAGGGTGACAATATATAGCCTCGACATACTCCTTTTCCTATTTGGAACCAGTCTGTTCCATGTCCAGTTCTAACTGTTGCTTCCTGACCTGCATATAGATTTCTCAAGAGGCAGGTCAGGTGGTCTGGTATTCCCATCTCTTTCAGAATTTTCCACAGTTTATTGTGAGCCACATAGTCAAAGGCTTTGGCATAGTCAATAAAGTAGAAATAGATGATTTTCTGACACTCTCTTGTGTTTTCGATGATCCATCGGATGTTGGCAATTTGATTTCTGGTTCCTCTGCCTTTTCTAAAACCAGCTTGAACACCTGGAAGTTCACAGTTCATGTATTGCTGAAGCCTGGCTTGGAGAATTTTGAGTATTACTTTACTAGCGTGTGAGATGAGTGTAATTGTGCAGTAGTTTGAGCATTCTTCGGCATTGCCTTTCTTTGTGATTGGAATGAAAACTGACCTTTTCCAGTCCTGTGGCCACTGCTGAGTTTTCCAAATTTGCTGGCATATTGAGTGCAGCACTTCCATGGAATCATCTTTTAGGATTTGAAATACCTCAACTGGAATTCCATCACCTCCACTAGCTTTGTTTGTAGTGATGCTTCCTAAGGCCCACTTGAGTTGACATTCCAGGATGTCTGGCTCTAGATGAGTGATCACACCATCATGATTATCTGGGTCATGAAGATCTTTTTTGTATAGTTCTTCTGTGTGTCCTTTCTACCTCTTCTTAATATCTTCTGCTTCTGTTAGGTCCATACCATCTCTGTCCTTTATTGAGCCCATCTTTGCATGAAATGTTCCCTTGTTGTATCTAATTTTCTTGAAGAGATCTCTAGTCTTTCCCATTCTATTGTTTTCTTCTATTTCTTTGCATTGATCGCTGAGGAAGGCTTATCTCCTTGCTATTCTTTGGAACTCTGCATCAAATGGGAATATGTTTCCTTTTCTCCTTTGCATTTTGCTTCTCTTCTTTTCACAGCTATTTGTAAGGCTGCCTCAGGCAGCCATTTTGCTTTTTTGCATTTCTTTTTCTTGGGGATCATCTTGATCGCTGTCTGCAGTACACTGTCACGAACCTCTGTCCATAGTTCATCAGGCACTCTGTCTATCAGATCTAGTCCCTTAAATCTTTTTCTCACTTCCACTGTATAATCATAAGGGATTTGATTTAGGTCATACCTGAATGGTCTATCGGTTTTCCCCACTTTCTTCAATTTAAGTCTGAATTTGGCAATAAGAAGTTCATGATCTGAGCTACAGTCAGCTCCCAGTCTTGTTTTTGCTGACTGTATAGAGCTTCTCCATCTTAGGCTGCAAAGAATATAATCAATCTGATTTTGGTGTTGGCCATCTAGTGATGTCCATGTGTAGAGTCTTCTCTTGTGTTGTTGGAAGAGGGTGTTTGCTATGACCATTGCCTTCTCTTGGCAAAACTCTTATTATTAGTCTTTGCCCTGCTTCATTCTGTACTCCCAAGGCCAAATTTTCCTGTTACTTCAGGTGTTTCTTGACTTCCTAGTTTTGCATTCTAGTCCCCTGTAACAAAAAGGACATCCTTTTTGGGTGTTAGTTCTAAAAGGTCTTTTACCCTATTGCTGGCGACTAATTCCTATTCTGTCTTCTATTTAGGCCCTTACATCAGTTGTAAATTACAGAGAACCCAAGTCTGTTTGCAAAGCACCTGAATTGGTAAGTTTGATGGTTGCATAAATGTAATCTTGTGAAAAATTGGCATTAGAGGATGCAAGCTGAGATGAATGTCAGATTTGTTTTTGTAGCATTTTTTTAAAAAATTGATGAAATTAATTATTAAAAATAAAAACGGATCAACATTGTATATAATGTTGGCATTTGTATAAGGGATGCAGTAGGTCATCTCCGTAGCCTTTTCTTAAAAAATATTTGAAGGAGAAAATATTCCATCTTACAAAGTTTGGGTTGGAAAGTATGACTGCTTTAAAATAATTTGCATTAAAAAAAAATAATTTACATTGCATTTCATAGAGGTTTAATTTTATCTGAACTCTAAAAGGGGGAATTTGATGACAAATGAAAACCTTTAAAGGAAACTTGCTTATAAGGTTGTTGTAAGATTTTTATTAGGTATTTTTTTAGTGTCAGAAATGATAGTACTGCTCAAAACTCACCTGGGTGTTGCATCAAAACCTAGTTACTTATATCAGTGCTCCATTGGATCATTCAGTGTTGATTAGATTTTACTTGTTTATAGTTTTTTAAAAAAATTTACCCAGTGACATGTATTTTAAGTTTTAATGCATAATTTCAAAACATAAGCTCGAGGATGACAAAAACCCATGATCTTATTTTGTGTTGTTACCATGGTGCCTCCTTTGAGAAGGACCCTTTGTAAGAGTTACTGTCAATTTCTATTTGAGCTCGCTAAATACTGTGACAACTTGCTGAAGAAATCAGCAAAGGGGATGACAGAGAATGAAGTAGAGGACAAGCTCACGAGCTTTATCACTGTCTTCAAATATATTGACGACAAAGATGTTTTTCAAAAGGTAATTTTTGAGTCTGACAGTTTTGTGTGTTAGCTTTGATTAATCTTTGAATTTTAAATCAGAAAATAATCTTTTAATCTTTTTTAATGTAGTTCTACGCAAGAATGTTGGCGAAGCGCTTAATTCATGGGTTGTCTATGTCTATGGATTCTGAAGAAGCCATGATCAATAAACTAAAGGTACTGTAGGACTTTGATGTGGTGTCTTAGGAGTCATTTCACTAGCACACAGAGATGGGCAGCTTCACAGTATGAGTAAGGAAATAATTCATTAGCAGTTGACTGGCTAAATGTTAAGTGTAGTTTCATGTTAGCGCATGCAAATGCTGTATTAAAGGACAGAATCTCTACGTCGATACAGAATTATCTACAAGATAAGATTTATATTACTTAGAAACGAACATACTTAAAATACTCCTTCAAGTATAAGTTTTGTGGAGGACATTTGAATTTCAGTTCACTTTTATGTGATTTTAGCTTACACACTGATGAGATAAGCACTTGCTGATTCATATTTATCCTGAGTTATTCAATAGTTGATAGTTTTCCTGTATAGCAGGCATTGAATATGTAGTCCTTTTCAAAGATGCCAAAAATAACTTTTAATTTTTAAAGATAATGTTAACAAAGATTTTAAATCCCAAGATTAGACATCGATTTTTTGACCTTATGATCACAGAGTTTGGAATAATTTCAAAGAAACAGATTTCTTCATTATTCAGCTGATAGTATTAAAAATCTGCCTCAGTGTCCTCCTTATAACTTAACTACTGGCTCAAATATTCCCAGTTGTCTTTGATGTGTATTCGATACTATCTGTAAACCTTATAAGGTGTCTTACAGTAATGAAGCAGTTTTTAGTGTTGAAATGACATACAGATTTATAGAAAAGTTCTTGTTTTAAATGGAAATTTGTTACTTCATGAATATTTGTTTTCATTCACTTATTTAATCTGTGTTAAAAAAAGAAGAAGAAAGGAATTTTTGAAATGTTTTGAATAACTGCTTTGCATGATGAATAACACAGGCCTTCGGTGTGAGTGTACAGGCCGGCTCTTTGACCAGAGGCAGAGCAGTAGCAAAGCATTATTAATAATCAGTATGGGTTATTATTTTTGTTTTTAAATCTTTTAAACTTTCTTCTACAGCAAGCCTGTGGTTATGAATTTACCAGCAAGCTACATCGGATGTATACAGATATGAGTGTCAGTGCAGATCTCAACAATAAGTTCAACAATTTTATCAAAAATCAGGACACAGTAATAGATTTGGGGATTAGTTTTCAAATATATGTTCTACAGGTATGTGTTCTATTGTGGGCATTTACTAATCATTTCTGATACAGAGGACTGATTAACAGATGGATGCCTGATTACCTTTCTTTCAGTCAGAGGGCTGTAGCTTCTGAAGTTACATGTTACATTGATTTGGAATGAACTGTGCCCTGATAGTCATGCCAGTGGGTTTAATCAGCATTTGGAGGAAGGAGAAAAAGTTGTTTTAGTCACTTGTGGTGGTGGGGTTAGTTGGTAAGTCATGACGAGCTCTTAAGATCCCATGGACTGTAGTCTGCTGATGTCCAAGGGATTTCCCAGGCAGGAATACTGGAGTGAGTTGGCATGTCCTTCTCCAGGGGATCTTTCCAACCCAGGGATCAAACCCAAGTCTCCTGCATTGCAGGCAGATTCTTTACTGCTGAGTCACCAGGGGTTCCCATTGTAGTTGCATCATTTTATAAACATTCACTTTCAAGTGAGAAATGTATCTATTTAACAATTTTACTCTTCTCCTTTTAGGCTGGTGCATGGCCTCTTACTCAGGCTCCTTCATCTACATTTGCAATTCCCCAGGAATTGGAAAAAAGTGTACAGATGGTAAGTGGACGGAAGATATAGTGGAAGACCTAAGGAATTTTAATAATTGTCTTCATGTTATATCACTTTAAATATTTCTTCAAAGTCTTCAGGGCTCATGTGATATAAAATCATATTTACAAGTTATGATTATTCTGCCTTGTAGGAAGAATGTAAATGATAATAGTTTCTAATTAACACTAAACTAAAACACTTAGTGGTGTCAGTTGTCAGAACGTGTCTCTTAGTAAATTGATTATCTGTCATAAGTAATTCTAAATTACAGAAATTTTGATATTAGAAGAAAGTTTTAGAATACAGGACTTAAAGGAGTCATCTTTTAATTTTTCACTTGAATGTGGAGCCATTTTTATAATTCATTTATCCTTTATAATAGTTATTTTTGTTTCTGGGCTATAATTTGGGTAAATATGTAGAGAATGGGAAATATTCTAGAAAAAAAAATGAAGATGAAAAATGCAGGTAAACATGGTCTTAAAGTGTGACCGAATAGAAACCTTAGAGTTCTGCGTTTTCAGAGACTGTGGAGGCTCCATTGTTAGCAGGTGTCGAGCTGTAGTTGGTGTGCCGTGTGGCTTAGTCGTATAGCTGTGTAGTCACTTTATCAGGCTGCTGTAACAAAATACCACAGCCTGTGCAGCGTACAAACAACAGAGATTGATTTCTCATGGTTCTGGAGGCTGGAGGTCCAAGGCCAGGATGACAGCATGGTGGGGTGAAGGCCCTCTAAGGTGAGCCTGTGTCCTTATGTGGTAGCTGGAGCTGGGGAGCTCTGTGGGACTTAATGCCCTAGATGAGGTGATCCAAGCACCTCCCAAAGGCACCACCTTCTAAAACCATCACGTTGGGCATCAGGATTTCAACATACGAATTTGGGGAGACACAGACATTCAGGCCACAGCACTATACAGTTCATTTAACGTGTACACTTTCAGTGGTTTTCAGTATAGTCACAGTATGTTCGTTAGCACCATTAATTTTAGAACATTTTAATTGTTTTAATTACCCTGAAAGAAACCCCCTACCCATTAGTAGTCACTCTTCACCTTCACCAACTCCCTACCCCCTCCCCAACCCTAGGCAATCTGCTTGCTTTCTCTATAGATTTACCCATTCTGGACATCTGTCATGGTGCTCTGTCATATGTGGTCTTTTGTGACTGCCTTCATTCACTTTGCAGAATGTCACGGTTCATCCGTGTTTTAGCCTATGCCAAATACTGCCAAATAATGTTCCATTCTATGGAGTCATCGCGTTTTATTTACTCATCCAATATCAGTTGATGGACATTTGGGCTGTTTTGGTCTTTTTGGCGTATAAGTCATGCTACTCTGAACATTCATGTCTAAGTTTTTGAATGGATGGACATGTTTCCATTTCTCTTCCAGCTGACCCTTTTTGATTCTCTAACTCACCAAACAAGGCTTCTTATTTCTTGATAGGATGGAAGTTTATGTAGCATTTTTTTTTTCCTAGCAAAATCTTTATTATCCTTTTCATTAACGTTTTATTTTATATTGATGTATAGCCGACTAACCAGAGCTTCCCTGGTAACTCAGCTGCTAAAGAATCCGCCTGCAATGCAGGAGACCCTGGTTCGATTTGTAGGTTGGGAAGATGCACTGGAGAAGGGATCGGCTATTCACTCCAGTATTCTTGGGCTTCCCTTGTGGCTCAGCTGGTAAAGAATCTGCCTGCAATGCAAGAGACCTGCATTTGATTCCTAGAGAAGATAAAGGCTATCCACTCCAGTATTCTGGCCTGGAGAATCCATGGACTATATAGTCCTTGGGGTCGCAAAGAGTTGGACATGAGCGAGTGACTTTCAGTTTCACTGCCAACTAACAGTCTTGTGATAATTTCACCTTCACAGCTGGTTAACAATCTTGTGATAGTTTCAGGTGAACGGTGAAAGTGACTCAGTCATATGTACACATGTATCCAAAAGGCTTTCGTTATATTTTAGTAGTCTTTTATTTGGGCGATAACTTGAGGTTGTGAACCAGTGAGGTATGCATATGTTATTTAAAATGAAAATGGAGGGTTGCATGGAAACATATACACTACTATATCTAAAACAGGTAGCCAGTGGGAATTTGCTTTATGACTTAGGGAGCTCAGACCAGTGCCCTGGAGGAGTGGGATGGGGTGAGAGGTGGCGATGGGGGTTCCAGAGTGAGGGGACATATGTATACTTAGGGCTGCTTCATGTTGATGTATGGCAGAAACCCAACACAATATTGTAAAACAATTATCCTTCAGTTAAAAATAAATAAAAATAAATTGAAAATGATACTTCATTACACTGTTTCCTAGAGAAGTTCACAATGTGCCGTTTGAATCTTTGAATTACATATATTTTTGTTTCTTTCAAAATAAGGATTATAAGTCAAATAACAGTGTGAGCTTTGGAATCATAAATCCTGGTTTTACGTGTCAGTTCTGTAATTTACTGTGCTCTGTGACTCAGGGCAAATAACTTTCTAATTTTCTGTTAACTGATGATACTAATACTCAGAGTGCTGATATGAAGATAAAGTCAGATGTGTAAAGTAAGTACTCAATAAACGATAGCTGATAGTAGAAGTAGTAGTAGTTAATGCTAATATTGATAGTAGTGGTGACAGCAGGCTAGCCTAATATAAACAGTCAGGTATATTTTACAATACCGTGCATAAGGTAGACTTAGAAGACTGACCGACCCCTCACCTTTAACAGTCTTAAAACTCATTTCTTCATAAGAGTGTACTTTGCCAATTGAAATTAAAGGAGAAGTTGGGGGCAGAAATAGTAATAGTTTCCTTGTAACTTTGTCATTCTTTTCTTTCTCCTTGAAATAATTATTTTCCAGTACTTATTGGAATACTGGAATAAACCCCTTAACATATTAACATATGGCCACCCCCAGGTTCCAGTGTCCTTATTTACAAACAAAAAGTGGGTTTCTTTCTGATTGTAAAATCTTGATTTCAAGAATATTGTTTTCTCCATTTGAACTTTCTCTCAGTACCAGTAGAGGGAGTTTGTCCTTTGTTTTTTCCTAGTAAGTCCAGTTTCAGTATCATTATTTCACTGTAGGTTATGTCCTAGCTCTTTAAAAAGAACTCTCTACTTTTTGGACTGATGTCCCACATTTAGTCAGAGGGAGGAATTTTTTTAATGTCAAAGCTGAGTTACTAGAATGTTTAATTTTCCACAATAGTATCAACAAAAGGATACGAAGTCAAGACTCTGATGCTTTGCTTGTGTTAATGTGTTTGACTGTATGTGGAAGTTAAATCATGGTTGTCACTTTTGGAGTAGCTATTGACACTAGTCAACCTGTCCCTTCAACAAGGGTATATGTTATCGGAGACTAGAGATGAAGGTATGATTTTAATTTATATTTTCATGCTGAAATGTGCACAGTAATGTTTTTTGCTTAGTGCTTTATAGGCTTCCCTGGTAGCTCAGCTGGTAAAGAATCCACCTGCAATGCAGGAGACCCTGGTTCTATCCCTGGGTTGGGAAGATCCCCTGGAAAAGGGAGCAGCTACCCACTCCAGTATTCTGGCCTGGAGAACTCTGTGGGTAGAGGGAGGAGCTGGCAGGCTACAGTCCACGGGGTCACAAGGAGTCTGACATGACTGAGCAACTTTCACTTGTATTTATAAAGTTCAAATTGATATCATTCAAAACAGTGGTTTCTGAATTTATACAAAAAGTCAGATTTGCAGGACTGTGGTTTGGCAGTGAAAACCACAGACCGAGTTGTAAGTGAAAAGGGCTGGTCTGCTATTTGCGTAATCTTTATTAGGAGCTTTAATGTGTTTTGTGTTTTCTCATCTATCAACAGGAGTAAATATACTCTGGGCTCTAGTGTCTTTTTCTAACATGAATTTTCTTTTTGCTTTTTTAGTGTAGTGATAGCCAAGTAAGTTAGGTTGTCGTAGCTGAAAATAATTTGGTTCCTTTTTTCTTTTTTACAGTTTGAATTATTTTACAGCCAACATTTCAGTGGAAGGAAACTTACATGGTTACATTATCTTTGTACAGGTAAAATGCATTTAATTATATCTAGTTTAATGAAATCTACATGATAATGGTTATGTTAAAATTTTGGACAGAGATTTCTTAGAGACTACTTATAGTTTTGTTTTTTTTTTTTTTTCTTTTCTAATTATAGTTTTTAATCTTTCCTTCTTCATCTACCTTTCTGGTTACCCTTAAAGCAACAATAAAGAAGTTCACATGCAGCACTTTTAATAGTGTGCTGCTGATAAAGAATTTCTGAATTTTATAATAGTTTCCTACATTTCTGTAACAAAAACTTTTGATAGATATTTGGAATTTTATTTAGAAACCCAGACTTGATGAGTCAGATACTCTTAAAAGAACCTGTTCTTTCTAGATATGCCAGATATGCTCAGAAAGTTCATTAATTAATTTACAGCACCACAAGGAGACCTAACCATTTGATTTTTATTTGTGGTACTGTAGTTAACTGCTATAGAAAATGCTTTTTCCAAAATGTCCCAATTAACTTCCAGTACTTCCCAGTTTTAGAAAAGTTTAATCAAAATCTAATCATAGCTTCTTCCTGGAAGAAGAAGCTAATTGTAGCTTCTTCCTGGAACAGTGGGGTGGACTTATTGGAAAGTAGGATTAATATTTTGGGTAGTGAGAGCTTGTATGTAATTGCTCTGCGCTGCCTGAAGATGTGAGCCCAAGCAAACACTAAGAATTTTGTCTACTTTTGCTAAAGCTATGCTTTGAAAAGTGCATTGAATCAACTTTCAGTTTGTATAAGAAGGAAAGGATATCCATGTATGTTAATGTCTCTTAGAAATGATACAGGAAAACCTGATTAGTTGCCATACCTTTATCAGGAAATTGACTCGAGAAATTTCTGGTGGCTCAGTGGTAAAGAATCCACCTGCCAATGCAGGATATGCAGATTGATCCCTGGGTTGGAAAGAGAAACATAAGTACCATTTATTTGATTACTTTATATTTGAAATATGATGTCTCATTATGTTAGTAATGCATATTAGTACATAATAGTTAGTACATAGTAATACATATTTATACAAGTGTATCTTTAATGAACAAGTTGAGCATTTTAATTTTTCGTGAAATAAAGAGATGTTTGCTGATAGTCTTAGTATGTGGTCACTTAGTAGTTGGTTTTTAGTTTTATACCTGTTGTGAATTTTTATATTCTCATTTAGTAAATTGGTTTTAAGAAACAATACATTTGCTGGACCAGTGTTTTATTTATTTATTTTTTTTTTTCTTTTCATTTATTTTTATTAGTTGGATGGACCAGTGTTTTAATGTACTTGAATTAAAGTCACTTTTACTTTCCCTAAATATCCATCTTGGGGAGTTTAAACGCTCTTTGCAGTTACCTCAGCAGTAATCAGTCCATCTCTTCAAGTAGCTTTAATGAGGGACTTAACTTTTTGGTGTATGGAAACTAGTTGTATTAAGATACTGGTGAGAATATCTCTTCGGGGGTCCTGATCACTCGTGGCTGGAGCATCCGCTGGTGATCATGGCTTGAATCGGGTGTCTTACTCCTGGCTGCAAATCGGTGACACTCTGTCGTGCACTTGGCAGTTTAGCAGCTGACATTACTTGTAACAAAAAATTCTCCGCTAAAGACTAGGTTGCTGATAGGTAAGGAGGGAGAAACTCAGATGAAACTGTTTTCAGAGTTCTGCCTACTCTTTATTTCTGGCAGCTGCTAATACCACTTGAATTATGGTTGGCTAATTTTTCAAGTATATATGTATCAGAATGTTTTATTCTAGTTGGGAGTCTCTTAGAGTATTCTAAAGGTTAAATGACCTCTTTGTCATTCTCCTTTCCTGTTCACCCAGCAGCAATTAAGTGAATCATCCAGATTTCGGGTTTTCTCCCCTACCCCACATACTCCTCACCCTTTGCCCAGTCTTTTCAGCTCTGAGCAGAGTTATAAGAGAATGGTGCTGGAAAAAGTGAGAAGAGGCCCATGTACCCCTGATGATAATAATGTATTGGAGAAAGCAAGAAAGCCAAGTTTCCATTTTTTCTCTTAAGGGTTGCAGAGTGGATTTGATATCAGTGAATGATACTTTCAACCCTTAATTGTGTTGTCTCCTGATGCTTTCTGGGTTCTTGTGGCAGAGACTCACTCTGTTTCCAGACCCTTGGCAGTATGTTGCAGCATCTTTGACAGCTGGGTGATGGTCCTAGCTTAATCATCTAGATGCTTGAGGCATTATTTTATACTTTGTTTCTGGGATATGATTGAGCAGTCATTGCACAAATGGTCTAATGCCATTTATGTGGTTTATTTTTTTGCCTCTCACCACATTTCCTAAACTTTAATGTTGAGATGAAGCTCTTAAAATGCTCTTTATACTAATTGTTAGTAGGACAATCCTAGTGGTAGTATTCTTATACTTAAACTCTATGTGAATTGGATATTCCGATTAAGTATTAAAACCTTCTTTTATGGAAATTCAGAGATTAGAATTTTTTTTTCTCTAGGTGTTCAAATAATTTTGAAAGACATTTCTGAGTGTTCGTTTTTTTAAAAAAAAAAAGTTGAGGCAAAGTGCAAGTTAGAATAAGCATATCTATCTGGTGATACTAAGTTGGAGAATTGACTTATCGCCTTTAAATTCTTTAATTATGTAATGAATGAACTATATATTATTAAATAATAAAAGAAGCACAAGATCTTGACCAGAGTTGCTAATTATCACTAACACAGCCTTTGGGGTAAGTTCATGTAAAATTCAATTCCTTGAGTTAAAATGTAGAACCCGAAAACCAGATCTCATACTGATTTAGTTTATAAGTCAGTAAAAGTCAAATAATGTAGGATGTGTATGTGCATTTAAGAGAAAGAGAAATGCAATAACTAAACCACAACTTTGTGCTTTAGGAAGAGATTCTTTGACTTGTAGTAACTGTTTCTTACGTTACAAGTGCATATCTGTTTGACAGCAGTGTTGGCTACAAGTTCTTCAGTGACCTCACCCACCACCCCCTGTGCCCCCAGATGGATAGAACTGTAGTTGACCAAAGCCTGATGTGTTTTTATAGCTCTCAGAGTAGTGTAGGGTCTAGAACATTTTTATTTCATCACTTGTTTCAACAAACTTGTTCAGTTGTGTTCGACTCTTTGTGACCACATGGACTCTGGTCCATGGAATTCTCCAGGCCAGAATACTGGAGTGGGTAGCCTTTCCCTTCTTCAGGGGATCTTCCCAACCCAGGAATCGAATCCAGATCTCCCACATTGCAGGTGGATTCTTTACCAGCTGAGCCACAAGGGAAGCCATATGGTAGAAAGCAAATAAGAACTAAAGAGCCTTTTGTTGAAAGTGAAAGAGGAGAGTGAAAAAGTTGACTTAAAACTCAACATTCAGAAAACTAAGATCATGGCATCTGGTCCCATCAGTTCAGTTCAGTGGCTCAGTCGTGTCCAGCTCTTTGTGACCCCATGAATCGCAGCATGCCAGGCCTCCCTGTCCGTCACCAACTCCCAGAACTTACTCAAACTCATGTCCATCGAGGTCGGTGATGCCATCCAGCCATCTCATCCTCTGTCGTTCCATTCTCCTCCTGCCCCCAATCCCTCCCAGCATCAGGGTCTTTTTCCAGTGAGTCAGCTCTTTGCATAAGGTGGCCAAAGTATTGGAGTTTCAGCTTCAGCATCAGTCCTTCCAGTGAATACGCAGGACTGATCTCCTTTAGGATGGACTGGTTGGATCTCCTTGCCGTCCAAGGGACTCTCAAGAGTCTTCTCCAACACCACAGTTCAAAAGCATCAATTTTTCGGTTCTCATCTTTCTTCACAGTCCAACTCTCACATCCATACGCAACCACTGGAAAAACCATAGCCTTGACTAGACGGACCTTTGTTGGCAAAGTAATGCCTCTGCTTTTTAATATGCTATCTAGGTTGGTCATAACTTTCCTTCCAAGTAGTAAGCATCTTTTAATTTCATGGCCTCAATCACCATCTGCAGTGATTTCGGAGCCCATAAAAATAAAGTCAGCCATTGTTTCCACTGTCTCCCCATCTATTTCCCATGAAGTGATGGGACCATATGCCATGATCTTAGCTTTCTGAATGTTGAGCTTTAAGCCAACTTTTTCACTCTTCTCTTTTTCATCAAGAAGCTTTTTAGTTCCTCTTCACTTTCTGCCTTAGGGGTGGTGTCATCTGCATATCTGAGGTTGATATTTCTCCCGGCAATCTTGATTCCAGCTTGTGCTTCTTCCAGCCCAATATTTCTCATGATGTACTCTGCATATAAGTTAAATAAGTAGGGTGACAATATATAGCCTTGACTTACTCCTTTTCCTATTTGGAACCAGCTGGTTGTTCCATGTGCAGTTCAAACTGTTGCTTCCTGACCTGCATATAGGTTTCTCAAGAGGCAGGTCAGGTGGTCTGGTATTCCCATCTCTTTCAGAATTTTCCACAGTTTATTGTGAGCCACATAGTCAAAGGCTTTGGCATAGTCAATAAAGCAGAAATAGATGTTTTTTCTGGAACTCTCTTGCTTTTTCGATGATCCATCAGATGTTGGCCATTTGCTCTCTGGTTCCTCTGCCTTTTCTAAAACCACCTTGAACATCTGGAAGTTCTGGTCCCATCACTTCATGGCAAATAGATGGGGAAACAATGGAAACAATAAGAGACTTTATTTTGGGGGGCTCCAAAATCACTGCAGATGGTGACTGCAGCCATGAAATTAAAATATGCTTGCTCCTTGGAAGAAAAGCTATGACCAACCTAGATAGCATATTAAAAAGCAGAGGCATTACTTTGTCAGTAAAGGTCCATCTAGTCAAGGCTATGGTTTTTCCAGTGGTCGCGTATGGATGTGAGAGTTGGACTGTAAAGAAAGCAGAGCGCCGAAAAATTGATGCTTTTGAACTGTGGTGTTGGAGAAGACTCTTGAGAGTCCCTTGGACGGCAAGGAGATCCAACCAGTCCATCCTAAAGGAAATCAGCCCTGAATATTCCTTGGAAGGACTGATGCTGAAGCTGAAACTCCAGTACTTTGGCCACCTGATGCAAAGAACTGACTCATTGGAAAAGATCCTGATGCTGGGAAAGATTGAGGACAGGAGGAGAAGGGGATGACAGAGGATGAGATGGCTGGATGGCATCACCGACTCAATGGACATGAGTTTGAGTAAGCTCTGGGAGTTGGTGATAGACAGAGAGGCCTGGCATGCTGCGATTCATGGGGTCGCAAAGAGTTGGACACGACTGAGCGAGTGAACGGAACTGATTTCAGCAAAATAATAAAACTGCCTGTTTGTCTCTCCTCACATTTGTGTTTGTTTCTAGATGATTACTGGGGAGAAAGACTTAATTTATGAGACAAAATAGCATTGTTATAGTTTAGCAGAAATTATGCTTTAGCCAGAGTTGCAATAGAGGTGTCCTCCTCCAGGCACAAACCTTCCCTGGGGTAGACGAGATAGACACACAGGAGGCAGTTGCTGGTAGCAGACTGTCATGTTCTCTTTTTGTCTGTTTCTCTTCCACCTCCACTTCTTACTGTTTTTTTCTGCCCAAGTCTTAGCTTTCCTAGTAACTATTTGATAGCTTAACTATGATTATACTAGGTATCCCAGACTAATACCCCTCCACTCAATTCTCCCTCCTCCCGCATTCCCTCAGCAAACAAATACTACATTGCTAGCAGGAATAACTTTTCAATAATTAAGTTCTTGGTTCACTCTTTCAAGAGAAAATATTGGAAATAATTATTTATCAGCTAATTTTGGAATGCTTCTTTGAGTGATCAGCTTACTGTCCCAACTTTGTCTTAATTATAGGTGAAGTTAAAATGAACTATTTGGGCAAACCATACGTAGCTATGGTTACAACATACCAAATGGCAGTTCTCCTTGCCTTCAACAACAGTGAAACCGTCAGCTATAAAGAGCTTCAAGACAGCACTCAGATGAATGAAAAGGAACTGACGAAAACAATCAAATCATTACTCGATGTGAAAATGATCAACCATGATTCAGAAAAGGTATGGGGTAATACTTTTAAGAAATTTAAGTATTATAAACAATAAAGCTTCATGGGACATTGGCAGTTTTAAAAGTAAGGTTATAATCGTTAATGCCCTTTGTCCTTTGCAGCGCTTGAAAGCTGCGTTGCTTCAGGCTCTTTCAGTGTCGCAGAGAAGGCTCTGTCAATTGGTACTCATGTGCCCTTTGTTGATCAGTTTTGTGTATCTTGTGACAGCTCACTGAAAAATTATTTAAGAGTTGACATCAGAAGGATTCTGATTAATTGAGGTTTTAAACCTGTAGTCATAAGTTTTCCTGGGCTCCTCTGTGTGTCTAGTTAATGTTTAATTACGTGGTTCTATGATAGGCAGTGAGAGCTTGTTGATGTCTGTTCTGTGTGTATTTACAATGTGTGACTCCCGTCTCAGATGCTGTCACTCTCACATTTAATTTAGAGTCCTAAACTCTGGGATTCAACTCAACCCCATATAGTTTCAGTATCTGTCACGGGACTAGCAAACTGATAGTACATTTCTTTATTTCCTTATAACTTTTTTCCCCTGGTAACATGTTTTTGTTGTTATAGTATCTCATAGATAGTTGAATAGTTAAAAAAGCAACAGATGTGGGTTCAACCTCCTGTTTCAGATTATTGTGCCTGTAAGAAAAACTTTCAAATGATGTTGTGTTTTTATTTTAGTTCATGGCCTACACCAGTTCATCTTGCTAGAGATGACTTTTGTAGCCTCTGAATGGCATGCCTGCTGTAATTCAAATCAAGCTTTTCTTAATTTTGAGAAATGATTAATTTTTCTGACTTCAGAAACTTAGCAGAATATTGAATTCTTAATATTAAATATTAGAGTTTTAATTAATTTTGAGTAAACACTTTTAAGATTAAAATTTAAGTTTAAATTTTTAAGCTTAATTAAAATGCTTAAAAAGGTAAGTATTTTTCTAAAGCATGTTATATATTTTTGCTGCTCAGTAATGTACAAAATAAGTATTGATAGGTTGTGTGCACATTAAATGTGAAATACAAAGCTGTCATTTCTTTAATAGACTTTTTGTGGTTATTACGGAGAAAGTGCCATCTGCCAAGTGCTCCATGGTCCTGCTGGTGGAGAAATTCCAGTGTATGACAAAAGTGGCTTTCTTAAGCTTAAGAGCTAAAGATTGGCTTAACAGCTTCCACTTGAGAAGCGACCACTGGCTTCTGGCAGAGTGGATAAAATGTGCATTATGGGGTAATGTCGGAATTGCACTAGGTGGTAGGGAAGTGAGCTTGTGTGCCATTGAAACCAGCCAGCTTCTATCGTTAGGTTATTTTTAATTGGTGGTTCGTTATTGTAGCATTCAAAAAAAATTTGGTTATTTGGTTTTTCAAAATGTAATGAAAAAATTCTGAGCCTTGGTATTTAATAAAAATTAAAATGTTAAAATTCTGCTAAACAGTTGAGCCAGAAAAAGTTTTGCTGAATCTAAGCTGATTAAAATTCTATCAAGTGTAAAATTAGGAAAGAATTGTTTTCTCCTTCACAGTTTGACAAAAAACAATTATTTTCTCTTAAATATTTATAATATAAGAGATTATGAGAGTTCAGTGTTTTTTGCTTGGTCATTGTTTAACTTCATGGCGTGTTATTTGCAGCAATTGTTATTTGATGATTTTATTTTTATAAGTGTAAATGAATTATTTTTAATTGTAGGAAGACATCGATGCAGAATCTTCATTTTCATTAAATATGAACTTTAGCAGTAAAAGAACAAAATTTAAAATTACTACATCAATGCAGAAAGACACACCACAGGTAAGTGCTTTCTGATGTCATTTCTTTTGGAAATATTTAAACATTGGATTTTATAAGCAGTAACATTGAGACCAATGCAGAATTTGCACATCAAAATTATGATACATCTTCTCTGGTTTATTCTTTGCATTGACTGGCCTCACAAACAGTATTTTAAAGTTTAAAAACAGTAGTATAATCTTAGGGAAAAGGTGTCGTAATTTAGTCATATTTGCCCTTTTGTTTTTCTCCCAGTTTTATTGAGATATAATTGCCATACATCACGGTAAGTTTAAGATGTACAGCATAGTGACTTGATTTACATACATTGTGAGATGATTATCACAGTCGGTTTAGTGAATATTGATCATCTCATATAGAGACACACACACACACAATTAAAGAAGTAGGAAAAAAGCTTGCTTGTGATGAGAACTCAGGATTTACTCTCTTAACCGCTTTCATATATAACACACAGCAGCATTAATTATATTTATCATGTTGTACATTACATCTCTAGTACTCATTTTATAATTGGGAGTCTGTACCTTCTAACTGCCTTCATCCAATTTTCCTACCCTCCCCCACCAACCCCTGCCTCTGGTAACATCAAATGTGGTCTCTTTTTCTATGAGTTTGTGTGTTTTTCAAGTATAATTGATGCTGTGTTAGTTCCTGTTACACAACATAGTGATTTATTTCTGTACATTTCAAAATGATCACTATGAGAAGGCTAGTTACAATATATCACCATACAAAGATACCACATAAATTTCCCCACTCTGCACATTTCATACCCAAGACTCATTTATTTTGCCACTGGAAGTCTATACCTCTTCATCTCCCTCACCGGTTTTTCTCTTTCCCCCATTGCCCTTCCAGGACCACCTGTTTATTCTTTGTATCTATAACTCTGTTTTGCTATGTTTGTTCAGTTTTTTTTTTTTTAGATTTTACATATACATGAAACCATGGAGACATGTCTTTCTCTGACTTATTTCACTCAGCATGATACTTTCTAGGTCCATCTGTGTTGTTGCAAATAGCAAGATTTTATTTATTCTTTTTTTATGACTGAATAATATACCAGTGTGTGTGTGTGTGTGTGTGTGTTCACCATATCTTTTTTATCCATTCATCTATTGATGGGCATTTAGATTGCTTCCATATCTTTGCTATTGTAAGTAATGCTGCAATGAACATAGTCATATTTGCTTTTAAGTTTTATTAAAATGTATCGATTCGTTTCGTATTCTTTTCAAAAATTTCTACCTTGAAGAATAATGTAATCTCTCATATTCTTCATTCATAAAATAAGGGAAAGTTTTACAACACATTTCTTTCAAAGAAAAACTTGAAAATGCTTTCAGACTTCCCTGTGCAAATGAACTGTGTGGAGATTACGTTAAAACTCAAAGTGTGATAAACTCATAGGTCTGGAGTAGAGTCCGACCTGGGATGAGCCAGTGTGCACCGTGAACACCCGCTGTTGATATGGTGGTGGTTCTCAGGCAGCCTGTTATATCACTGCGGATTTCTTATTGCTTCCCTGTGCCACCGTGCCCTTGGGCTTCAGGCAGGTTGTGAAGGTATCAGATATGTCAGGCTCCTCTGGGAACTTAACTTCCCCTGCCAAGGTCAAGTGTTAATTAGTTGCTATTCAGTTTGACCCCTAAGATGATCAAGATCTCGTATTCCTGTAGGCTAATGGTGATAACATGTACTAGGTTGTATTTTATCTGTTAAGCTGCTGTGAGATCCCTATTAATGTGGCATTGCCTGCTTCTGTGCCTTCCCACCACTGTCTTCCCTGCTCCATGGAGAGAGGCCCTTCTGGCCCAGCCTTCCTGGCTTCTCTGCTTGAGTCAAATGGAGCCCTTCCCAGCTCTTGCCCTTGAAGCCTGATCCAGTATCCACTTGGAGCCAGTTGCTAAAGTCTGCAAGCTTTGTGGTATAAGTCTTTACTCAATCATAGGTCCGCGGTCTTGAGACTTATTAGTCTGTGTCACTTAAGTTCTACTTTCTTGACTATTTACACTGAGTACAATGTACTGTAGTGTTCATTTTTTAAAAAAATAGCCTTCCCACTTTAACTTGAGAAATTATATATAACTCATCATAGGTATTCTTTTGGTAATGGTTATGTTATATTGGGCACATAATCGTATAGTTTGATTCTGAGTATTGATTGGAGATTTATTTAAACTCACAAATAAAATGAGTTAAAAACAAGTGCAGTGTCTGAGGGTCTCATTTGCTTTTTATGGGCTTCATAAAACAGGAAATGGAGCAGACGAGAAGTGCTGTAGACGAAGACCGGAAAATGTACCTCCAGGCTGCTATAGTTCGTATCATGAAAGCGAGAAAAGTACTGCGGCATAACGCCCTTATTCAAGAGGTAAAAGGGGAAAGTCCTGAAGACTTCTTGGGCAGAGGGTATTAGGATTAGGCAGTGTTTCTTTGTGAAGATGATACAGAAACCTGTGACTCCTGTATAGCATAGAAATGCTTTTTGTTACTGAAAGAGAACAGTGCTCATAAATCCAATATGAAATTCACGTTTAGATTTAGAGGTCTGAGCCTCGTGACCAGTTACTGAAGGAGGTCAACCGTGTCCCCCACTCACTCACTCCTCGAATACACGTGTGTCTCCCGTTTGGTGGAGCACTGTACTGGTCCCCGTGGGGTGCACATCAGCTCAGGACGTGGCTTCTGCCCTTTGGGAGTTCAGTGTCATAAGGAAGAAATGCACTACTGAAGTAATGTGTGAGCAAATACAAAATTACACTGATGTGCCACAAAGAAAAGGTATATGGTACAATGAGAGTGTATACAGGTCTTGACTCAGGGGATGTTAGGGAAAGCTTTCTTGAGCAAGTGTTGCTTCAGCTAAGAGCCAGAAGTCGCGGAGAGATTAAATGGAAGTTCGAGGGCGTGTTTGAATAGTTAGATTAATTAGTTTGTGATTTGATTTAGTGTGTTATTAGGTTTGGCTGTATCTGTGCCCTTGACCATTTAAATTCCTTCACAGCCTCAACGTTAAGACTTTTCCCATAGTTTGCGTGAAAATGTATTTTTGTGCATTGCATCAGAGCTGAACAAAGTGCTCCTGGCGAGAAGAGCATTTTACCATCTCCCTCTCTCCCACAGGTGATTAGCCAGTCAAGAGCTCGATTTAACCCTAGTATCAGCATGATTAAGAAGTGTATTGAAGTCCTGATAGACAAACAGTACATCGAACGCAGCCAGGCGTCCGCAGATGAGTACAGCTACGTAGCGTGACGTGGCGCTCCTCCGGCGTGGGTATGAGAAGGTCATTGCCATCAGCATCCGGTGTGTTCCTGTGGGAGAAAGCAGGCCTGTGCCTCCATAATTTGGTCATTTGGCAGCCCCTGTTTCTCTGCTGTTTACAACATCACCAGTGCCACGTCATGAGCGTCAGAGAAAATGCCTAGAGATATTTCAAGCTCATGTCATTATGACATTTCTTAAAACTTTATTAAAAAAAAAGGATGAGTGAAGTATTGCTGAAATGTGGAAATCTGGCTGGGTACCATGCTTTTTCTCCCCTTCACGTTTGCAGTTGATGTGTGTTTTTTTTTTTTTTTTTTTTAATGTATCTTAAAGGACATAAGATTAAAAAAAAAAAACCTAAATATTGTAATATGACAGATAACCTAATAATTGTATCTACATTAAAATGACAAACATGATATTGCTGCTTGTCAAATAAAAAAATAAAGAAATAGAATGCCTTTTTTATGTGGATGGGGTATCACAATATAATGCTCAGAAATGTCCGTTGAGTCGTTGTGCTCCTGTTTAAATCCTACATGAAAAGTCTCAGTTATTGTTTCTGAATGCCTTCAGCATAAAGGATGCGTTCAGCATAAATGATGTTTTCTTTTTATGGATTAGAGCTGCATTGGATGTGAGCCTTGTGAGGAGTGAGGGTGTCACTCTGTCTCGAGTTTCTGGTGGTGTCCTGCTGCAGCGCAGATCCGTGAGCGAGGGGACTGTGGTGACCTCACGTCTGGCTTAGAAAGAGCCATCATTCCCAGGTTGTGTTACTTCTGCCTCCGCAGTACATCAGTTCTAATGAGGTCTGACGCCCCTCTGCTCCTTCCCTGCCCCCTTCCTCGGGGTCGTATGTCATCCTGCGGTGCTGGTGTCTTCCTGTGCGTTCCTCCCGTACCCCTGCCTGCCTGTTACTCTCCCAACCTCCTTCCATTTTAACACTAGATTCACTCCTACATCACCGATACTCTTAGCAACGCATAACCTAAATATTTTTTTTTTTCTGTATAGTGCATTACACCAGGTGCCGCTTTTATAGACATGAAAGTTCATTATTTATGTGATCAACAGCAGTATTAGAACACTCTGGTTTATTTCCACATTTGTTATCTACCCTTCCTCCACCACTACACACACATTTTTTTTAAAAAGCTGAGATGTTTTAAAGCATATCCTTCGTGGATCATTTCACTTGCAATATTTCAGTCTATATCTCTAACAGAAAAGGCCTGTAGAAAACACAACCACAGTTACTTTACTACACTTAACAAATAAACAATAATTACTTAATATCATCTCATACATGGCTTGTATTCCAGTTTCTCTTATTGTTGCCAAAGTGGCTTTTTCAGTTGGGTTGTTTGATGGTACTTTTTCTAACTCTTGTCTCTTCAGTGTTTTAAAAAAAAAATGCTGAGCTTTTAATGACTTCTCTATTGTATTTCTCATTTTCCCTTTTATCCCCTAGAGGGGAAATAATGGCAAATGATACAATATTGTACATCCACTGTCAAAAAACAAACCTTTGTTTTGATAACTTGTTGATAAAGTTTTCCAAATTGATTCCTTTTTTCTTAAATGCTTATAAATGTTAAGTCTTATCCGGCTATCTAATTGCCAAGAAAATATATTGAAAAATGGAGAAAATACTTGTGCTGAGATCAACAGAAATGACTGACAGGAGTTTTTGTCCCATCTTTTTTCCATTTCTCCTGAAAGGAGACATATTGAAGGCACGGTTGTCATCCGCGAGGAAGGAGCCAGGTTCCCTTAACAGAGGCGCCTTCCGAGAGGATGGATTTCGTGCGCCTTCTGGTGAGCAGCAAGGAGCTGGGGAATACCTGAGGCTGGGGGGTCGGGTGGGGTCAGGCAGTTGGCGTCACAGCACCAGCCAAACCTTGGCACACGGCCCTGTGCTGAGAGCCCAGAGCCATGGCAGGAAGGGTCAGAACGACAGAAGGGCAAAACGAGGGAGGACGGGAAAGGCTGTCAGTGCTTTGCATCAGAGAACAAAAGGAATGTGACCAAAACTCAGAGAAGTTAAAAAATCACGAATACTGGGGTGGTGAACATGTGAGTCAGAGATTTGGCTTAGAGCCGTACAACGTATAGCTCTTGTCAGCACTTTGTCTTTTCCTTTCGAACCCAGATATTTTCATTGCTATTGTAGGTGCACATTTATTCTAGAGTTTGGTCCAATATTGTATGACAGTTGCTCTAATATGAACAATAGAATAGACATTCTGGAGTTTGCGTTTTACCTTATAATTTATGGTCTTAATAGGATTTTATAACCTGTATATGCTACAATGCTATAACATTTCCGTTAATTTTTTTTTACCTTTATTGAATGCAGACTGTGGCTGCTGCTTCTACATGTTATTTGTTTGCAATCTTCAGATAATCCTGAAAAATAAGCAACATTCCTCTCTTTTCATAGATGAGGAAACTAGAGTGCTTTCCAGGAGTCATTGCCAGAAACTGCATAACCTGAACTTAAAACCAAGGCAAAACTGTAGACCTAATATAGTATATCCTGTGAATTAGATAGAAATAACTTCATTTTATATGTGAAGAATGATCATTTTTTCTAACTTTTCATAATAAAAGTTTGTGTTCAGTTAATTTGTGAGTAATAAACACTTCCTATTTTAGTTTCTTAAGATACTTATTTAAGCTGTAAGTATACATGGTTAAATGAGTTGGCTCAAAACCTCCTCCATCACAGGTAGGTGGACAGAGTCCTGAACAAAAGCACTTTTAACAGTCAGGCAGAGGGACGGGGTTCTCTGAGGCAGGCCATTATGTATGATTATAATAACAAAAGCAACAAAAAGAGGTCAAAGAAACTGTTCCAACATGAAGTCAGGAGTCAGATTTGGCTCTTCACAGCAAAAAAGGATATGAGCTTTTAAAACAGTAGTTGTAAGGGCAGCTGTATGCAGGCCATAGCTAAATGGGTGGGAATGAATATGGAAAGGCTCACTAGTTGAGGATTGGCGTGTTCATGGGGCATATTTAAGGCCGAATCAATAAAATCCTCATGTGAGACATAAGCCCCATTGGCTGGAGTTCATTAAAGGCGGGCTTCACTGGTGGGCAGGAATGATTTTCACATTTGGTGACTGTGCTGCCTGGGAAAAGGTAAGTTTTATCTCCCATGCCTCCCTCTAGGGCTCAGGCAACCCCCCATCCTTTGTCGCCTAACAGCCATGCCCTGGGGCCAGGTCTTGTGTGGGTACCATGGCTCTGACCATCAGCAGCCAAGGTATGATCTGTGCCCAAGTGGGGCATTTGGACTTGTGTTGGTCAGACGTGAACACAGCGTTCCAGGTGAAGGTGCTGAGGAAGGAAACTCTTGGGCTCTCGCAGGAGGTCGGGTAGGAGAAGTTAAAGGCAGAAAATGAAGGTGGGAGAGCGCAGGGTAGGTGGGAGAGCGCAGGGTAGGCAGCAGCGGCCAGAACACCTGCTGAGCCTGAGCGGCTGGTGTTCACACAGTTTGCTTGGGCGGGTTATATTTGTATCGGAAAAAAACGGATGACGATGTTTTTTAAAGCATAGGTGGAGAGTGCATGAATGTTTCCTTTGCTGATGCTATATAGTGTACATATTTCTGTTTTTTCTTTGGTGTTTGTGAACTGTTTCAGAGTATTTGCAATTTCAGTGGGAAATGGAGACTGTGTGTGTGCAGAATGGAGGGAGGGCGGGAGACGTCCACGCAGGACGCAGGAGTCCCAGGCGGGACTGGGCAGTGAGGAGGGGGCCAGTGGCGCCCTCCAGTGGCGGCAGTAGGTAAAGCGACACCCTTCCCAGTGGACTGGGTTGAGGGCAAAGGTGAGTCAAAGAGGACCTGAGACTCTTGGCTGTTACAGCAAATACCATCCAGCGAGATGGGGCACTTGGACAGACGCGAAGGTGGAGAAGGAGCGGGGTGAGCCTGGTTCCAGACACCCGTGATGTGTGTGAGGTAGCCCAGTGGAGCTGGCAGGTGGCCCCAGGGGCCTGATGCTCCTGATGTAGGTGCTCTGATCCTGGACCTCAGAAGCCAATCGTAGAGGCTTCTGAATCCATCCTCATTCCCCTGACTCTGCAGCTCTTGAATTACTGTCCTGGGTAAGTGTGACTACAGAGTAGTAGGCATTTACTACCACACGAGTATAGTACATAACATCTTGATGTTTCATCTTGATGAAACCAAGAACCAACAAGAATGAGAATATGTGATCGTTTGTACATGTCTCGAGAAGTCCCTTGGACTGCAAGGAGATCCAACCAGTCCACCCTAAAGGAAATCAACCCTGAACATTTATTAGAATGACTGATGCTGAAGCTGAGGCCCCAATACTTTGGCCACCGGATGTGAAGAGAGCTGGCTCATTGGAAAATACCCTGATGCTGGGAAAGATTGCGGGCAGGAGGAGAAGGGGATGACAGAATGAGATGGTTGGATGCCATCACTGACTCAATGGACATGAGTTTGAGCAAACTCTGGGAGATAGCGAAGGACAGGGAAGCCTGGTGTGCTGCAGTCCATGGGGTTGCAAAGAGATAGGACTGATCGACTGAACATGTTCTAGGGTCTGTCTTCCTAGAACTTCAGAGACTGGTCTTTGTCACCCTACTTGGAGGCAAGGACATGTTCGTAGAAGTAGAGGAATTGAGCCGTAAGTCACTCCATTTTATGATTATTTCTTATGTTCACAATCTTTGTTAGCGTTAAGCGGAAACCTGGAGGGAGGAACATATCGGTGTTTTGCATTCTCCTGACAACATTAATGGTACAATTTTTCAGCAAAAGGAAGAAACATTTGAGAACTAGCTTGTGGAAAAGAACTCAAATAAGGAAGGCAGGCAGGGTTTGTTCAGTTTTCGATTCTTTATTGTTTTCTTTTTCTCTAGTGCTTACTATTTATAGTTAAGGTAATTGAAGAATTGCAGCTTATGTCAGAGGTTCACAGTCCAGGGGAGGGTGGGTAAAGCGAATGGGTTGCTAATTTTATCCCTTGTGGTTAGTTCGGTATTTTCCTTGGAAGAACTTTGGGGTTATAGGAAAACGATGGAAATGTTTTGTGATTTTTGTAACCGCCCTGTTGAGGTATCATTTGCTTTGTGGGATTGCCTACCTCAGCACTGCACTGACAGCCTGACCTCAGAGTAGGTGGGCTTTATTAGTTTATCCTTTGGGGAAGAAAGGACAAGTTTGAAAAGCAAAGATCTTTCAACAGAAATAAGCTGGTTTAGCATCAACTGTACCTAATTTTGGCCAGCTGATGCGAAGAACTGACTCGTTGGAAAAGACCCTGATGCTGGGAAAGACTGAAGGCAGGAGGAGAAGAGGACAACAGAGGATGAGATGGCTGGATGGCATCACTAACTCAATGGACATGAGTTTGAGCAAGCTCCGGGAGTTGGTGATGGACAGGGAGGCCTGGCGTGCTCCAGTTCATGGTGTCGCAAAGAATCAGACACAAGTGAGGGACTGAACTGAGCTGAACCTAACATGTCCAAGGATGTCACCCATGCAGCAGAAGTGCCCTGATAGAGAAAAAGCTGAATGCTGAATAGGAAAAAAGAATGGCTGTTTTAGCTGTTTATATACTGCTGAGGTGACTAAGTTCAAATCTATGCTGTGCATGGAGGAAACTTGGGAGACACTTTGTTTAGACTGTACATTTTACAATACCCATCTCTCAAGGTTGGCAGCCAAGAAAGATACCAGCCCTGCAGCCCCCTGGTGCAATGGTCAACTGGTCGTGCAGTGGGATAGGAAGGGGCCAGGACGGGTGGGGTGGGGGGGACATGCAGTCCCTGATTGCACAGCACCTGCTCCACCTGGCTTGCCCCCCAACCCCCAGCACTGCCCCATGGAGCAGGGTGAGAGGAAGAGGTGTCCGCAGCCTAACCCACCGCCTCTGCCCTCTTCCCTGCTGGCATCAGCCCAGGTCCAATCAGAGAGAGCCTATTTGTATTCCCGAGGAGACGGCACCTCCAGGAGGCCAGCCTTGCTCTGGACAAGTCAGGCAGGCTCACTGCTGATCCAGTCACTTAAATCCCAGCTGGCTCCCTCCGAAAGCTCCGACACAAATTGGAATTCCTTGTAGCTTCCGATCCCAGAAGCAGCACTCAAGGACCAGGCTGCTAGCTAATGCATTTTTGTCTCTGTCAGACCATCACTCCTTCCAGGGGTGATTCTCAAGAGGCAAGGATGGGGCCAACCAGGAAGCTCAAGGAACTCGGCGGAGCACTGTGCTGGGGTTTCTACACTGGAGGGGTGCAAGGTGTGATGTGAACTCAGAGGACTGGGGTCAGTCCTTTTCTGCCTGAAGGACTTACTTCATTAACTGCTTTGTTTTGCACTGGGTGAGTGTGTATGTTCATTTTCATTAGACTCATCTAATACTGTCTTTGGTTGCATACTGATTGTTGTTGAATCGCTCAGTTGTGTCTGACTCCTTTGTGACCTGGTGGACTGTAGCTCGCCAGGCGCCTCTGTCCATGGGATTCCCCAGGCAAGAATACTGGAGTGGGTTGCCATTTCCTTCTCCAGGGGATCTTCCCAACTTAGGGATTGAACCTGCATCTCCTGCATTGGCCGGCAGGATGCTTTACCACTGAGCCACCAGGGAAACCCACTTACTGTTCCTGCTTACTGCACTGTGTTGGATAGTGTCCCCCCAAACTGCATGTCCACCCAGAACCTCTGAATGTGACCTCGTTTGGAAATAGGGTCTTTGCAGTTGTAATCAAGCTAAGTTGAGGTCATGCTGGGTTAGTGTGAGCACTGATACAATGATGGGGTCCTTATAGGAAGGTCATGCTGGGTTAGTATGAGCCCTGATACAATGATGGGGTCCTTATAGGGAAAGGGAAGTTTGGACACAGACACACAGGAGAGGCAGCCATGTGAAGACAGAGGCAGAGATTGGAGTGATGCAGCCATGAGTATCACAAACAACCAGCAGAACCTGGGAGAGGCAAGACCTTCCACATGGGTATTAAAATTTCCAGAAAGAGGAAAGGGTGT